ATAATATAATGGGAATAATATGATGGAATATGGGAGATTATTATATTGAAAATCACACAAAAGCACAATAACTTTTAAAACGCTAAATGAATTTATTATTTAAGAAAAACGACTTGGAAGGACCTCTTTGAATAACTTTATTTCATACGTGTGAAAATTATAATATCAGAGAAACAATAACAAAGAAATACATGGATTTTATTTTGTTAACATGCATAGATCCGATAAAAATCGAGCGGTATCTTTTTCCTTTGCTCTTGCAACAAATATTGGTTTTCATATAACAAATCGGCTGCAAACGTAAAAAATAATAGTAATCATAAATAAATTACTATTACTTTTATTATATATAATCTGTTGTATTATTTAACCCTTTTATTTTCTTTCCTGCAATTTTCTTCAGATTTTTTTTTCCCTCACTAGGGGCTAATGATACCTTATATTTCATCAAAGTGTATACGCTACTGAGGACTTCTACGGATAGCTTACTGCGCATACACTGGGACTGCCCAACACTGTTCAGAAGGCCTTTCACCACAGTGTGGTGCCCCTCTACGCCTTATTTTCATTTCATGGTTGTATACTTATAACCATGAATAATACACAGTGGATAATGTATATTATGCTTTTGAAATGTATTCTTTTTACTTATTGTTTAAAATTATAACATTATTTACCGTGATATTTATTACTAAATTTATAGGTATTAATAAAAATGAAATTTCAAAGTCAAATTTTTGTTTCGATATGATTTATTTTTAATTAAAAAAAAAATATATCTTGATCATATTTATACAGGTATATATGTTTTCTACATTATTTTGTATTCTGCAGTTTATTATATGTATGTACAAGATAAAAAAGAAGTAACTTAATATTATAAATTGCATGTCTTTATATAATTTCAAAAACAGCTCAACGAAAATTAGATGTTTCCTGCACTGCGTATCGTAAAATATGTTACTTCATGGCGAATCACGACCTATAACAATATCGAATTCTCCTCTGAAAATTTTTATGAGTACTTGGAAAGCATTTTGTGTATGTTTAATTAATTAATAAACAACAATGATCAATACTCGACTCATTTTTAAGATAATGTTTTATTAAATCGGTTATGTAGTTTAATGAACTATTCGACATGAAATGCCGAAGATTTGAATAGTTTTTACAGTTAAGGATACATGTAACAATCAATAATATCCCAGTAACTACTTTTGTTAATAAATGATATACATGATGGCTAGTAGAGAAACATCAATTAATTCAAAAAATTCGGACGATCACAGTGTGGAGGTTTGTATAATTCTAATGCCCTCTAAATAATTTCATCTTAGCTATTTTATTTTTTAATGTATGAAAGTTAATGTACATTCTTGTTATATTTATTATAAATACATATCTTTATTATAGACATTGGCAGAAGTCTTCCGATGTTTCATTTGTATGGAGAAGCTGAGAGATGCACATCTTTGTCCTCATTGCAGTAAATTATGTTGTTACACATGTATTAGACGGTGGCTAACAGAACAACGCTCTCAATGTCCTCATTGTAGAGCTTCTTTACATTTGCATGAGTTAGTAAATTGTCGATGGGTTGAAGAAGTGACACAACAGCTGGATACTCTTCAAGCTGTTGGTATCTCAAACTCTAGACATGATGACTCAAATAGGGATAGGTATTTTATTTTTATTTTATACTGTCAAAATTGTAATTTATTTATTCATGTTATTAACATTTATACATGTCTGAAACAGGTGTACCGTACATCATGAAAAGCTATCTGTTTATTGTTGGACCTGTCGTAGATGTATATGTCATCAGTGTGCTTTGTGGGGTGGTACCCATTCAGGGCACACTTTTAAGCCATTAGAAGAAGTATATGAACAACATGTTACACAAATAAAAGCAGAAGTTGGGCAGTTGAAAAGAAGGTTAATGGAATTGATTAGCCTAGTACAAGAAGTGGTATGTGTACATTTACAGAATATATTTTGAAGTTGCAATTGTCACATTTAATTTTTCATTAGGAACGTAATGTTGAATCAGTAAGAGCTGCAAAGGATGAAAGGGTCAGAGAAATTAGAGGTGCTGTAGAATTGATAATAGCACGTTTGGATTCTCAGCTGAAAGCTAAATTATTAACATTAATGGGTCAAAAGAATTCTTTAACATTAGAAACAGAACAGTTAGAAGCTTTATTGCAAGAAGTGGAACATCAGTTACATACATGTACTCGTTCTGAACTTATAATCAAAAGTTCAGAACTTTCAAGGATGATACATCAAGTACGAAAAAAACCAATGACAAGTTTTGTCACTGCCCCTGTACCAGCTGATTTTCACAGGTATAAGATTTTTCATACATTAATTCACGATATGACATTTATTTATAAAATATTATACTTATACATTTATACTTTATTTATTGTTACAGTGAAATTGTACCAGGATATGATAGTGCTACATTTGCAATGCAAAATTTTACACAACTGCAATTAAAAGCAGATCCAGTATATTCTGCACCCTTGCATGTTAATGGATTGTGTTGGAGATTGAAAGTATATCCTGATGGAAATGGTGTTGTACGTGGAAATTATTTATCGGTTTTTTTAGAATTAAGTGCTGGTTTGCCAGAAACATCAAAGTACGTGTGAACATATAACTTTATCTTCAATTTTTAGAATTAAATTTTCTTATTCTTAAATTAGTTTATTTGCGCATCTTAATCTTTTTCAGATACGAATATCGAGTTGAAATGATACATCAAGGATCTCGTGATACAAGTAAGAACATCGTACGAGAATTTGCTTCTGACTTTGAAATCGGTGAATGTTGGGGTTATAATAGATTTTTTAGATTAGATTTACTTGCAACTGAAGGATATTTAAATACAGAATTGGATACTCTTATATTAAGGTATGTTAAAAATTCTTAAATTGTAACATTCTAATAAAATATGTAACTTAATATATTTATTTTTTATCCTACTATTATATAAGTTATAATATGAAGATGAATATTAGGTTTCAGGTACGTCCACCGACGTTCTATCAACGTTGCAGAGACCAACAATGGTATATTAGTCAATTAATTACCGTTCAAAATCAATATGCTACTCAAATCAATGAACTCAAAGAGGTAATGATGTCATATACCTAGTACCAAGTATAGATGTTAATTGCTAATAACTTATTTCTTTTTTTATAGAGGCTAGCAATAGAAATATCACGAAATGCAATGGCAGCAACCAGAGTACCTAGTGGAGCCACATTATGTGGATCTGCGTCAAACATAGCACCTGTGATGATGCAACAACAATCACAAGCTGCTGGAGATCCTTTAGTCAATACTAACACTACCCGTTCTGTTGAAACATATCCAAACGGTACATGTACAAGGTAAACTAGTTTATACAACAAACAGTAATGCAACAATTTTTATCATGTATTAAATAATATTTCAATTTCTTTCTTGTAGTAGATCAGTGCAGAATGTGCTTCCTGGAGGAAGTAATAACAACGCCTTAGTGGGTGATCAACTAATGCCTATGTGTGAAATAGGAGAACTCTCTAATATGCGTCCTCTTGGCTCCACTTCAACATTATCGTCCATTTCATCTAAAACAAGTTTAAAGCAACATAGAATAAATAATTTAAGCGTCGTCGAAGCTGAGTCGCCCAATTTACACAGTACAAATGATGGTTCATCTGGAGATTGTCCGGCAACCGATGCCCACTCTCCATCCCCGTCTTATTCGTCTCCGACAGTACTTAATCAACAACCATTGAATCTTTTATCTAGTAGCAGCAGTAGTGATAGTGGAGTAAGATTTTTTAAAATAATAATAAATGATAATAATTTATAACATTTTATAAAATGTTTATATAATTATTATAGGAATTAAGCGAACACGATATATATTTGGATGAATGCGAACATAATGAACCGCATTTAACACTTTTAGATGATAATTCTAACGATGAAAACGATGTAGACGATGAAACTATGTCAGGTATGATACAAACAAGCTATATTAAAAGTATTTTATTTTTCGCAACTCTATTAGATTTAATATTTTATACTAGAATATTTAACATAGTAATATCACTAATATTGCTGAATTAGGCGCAAGTTCAAACAGAGGTTCTGTAGGGGATGTACAGAGAATCAGACAAAGAGAAAACAAGTTAGATAAAGGTGCCGAAAATGACAAACCCACGAATGAGAAACCAGACGAAGATTTTGTGAAAGAAAATTCGACTCCCCATACTCTTGATCACTTTCCAACAATTTCATAAGAAATTTTCTGTTTCTTTCAAATGAATCTCTCTCTCACTGCGTTTGGTTTTATAATAAAAAATAAATATTCCCGTGAATGTACTGTAATAGTCGGTCTTATAGACAAATTTTAATTGAATAATTTAATTACGTCTTAAGTAACTTTGCATTTGTCAAAATGAGATATTTCGTTAATTACAGTACATAATTTTTAATAATTGTCCACAATTTTAGTTCATATTTTTAAATGTTTCCATGTATAATAACAATTACTGTATATTTGTAGGTGAGAATGATGTAGAAGTTGCAGAATCATTAACACTGTGGATTCAGAATAAACAGCGCACAAAGCAACAAAGTAATCGAGATAGTACAGGAGACACTTGCAGGTCTGTTTTAACATTAAGTTATCTACGTAACTAACTATAGAAACAACAGATAATTTTTTTAGATTGTTTAGTATAATAGACATAATTTTATTTGCCATTGTAGATTGCGCGGCAATGATAGTTTAGAAGATGAAATTATGCTACTACATTTATTCGAAATGCAAGATCGGAATTCTGCCTGGCCTCCTTTGTGCTTTAATAACCAACATGTGGATGATACTTGTGATGCACGGGCATCTTTGACAAATTTACATCATAATTCCAGCCCTTTACACTATAATGCTACACTGCCAACTCATGGATCATCAACATTTTCACACAAGCATCGTGAACTTGATTCAGTGTGCAACGAACAATTTTCTGATAAACGATCAACGTGTCCTTCGCACCTTTGCCAACCTCAAATGATGTGCAATGGTAGATCCAAACTAAGTCAATTATCTAACATTTGTCAACAAGATGTTTCCGGATTAATAGCTTGCGGGAGTCAGACAAGATCTGAACCTGCGACTCGCTCAAATTCAATAGACTGCGAAAAAGATCTTCCAAAAATATCTGTAGCTAATAAGATGAATCACGAAGTAGAAACTACTAGATCAGATTTGATAGTGCCAAGTGGTAAATAGAAACTGACATTAGTAACTAATATCTATATAATGCACGTATAATAACACGCGTTATTACTTCTTTAGTAGTGTTGGACAGCAACAAAATTGTATCAAAACATTTATTGTCGCGGAGACAGTCTTCGCCGTCGTCGTCCAGTAACGTTAGTATTGTAAATAACGAAAATAGTAAGATATTTGAATTCGAACAATTACTTGAAACTATTCAATTATCTCCAATATCTCAGAAAGACACTGCCAGCTGTTTTAATAAATTAAGGTACAAATTTTTCTTAATATACAAATATAACTAAATTTACAATATAATTTAATACTATTTTTATATGCAGGAAAAATATTTCATCTGATGGAAAAAATAGCGGTTGCACTGTTACAAATATTAAATCTACTGCCCTTTCGTTAGGACCGGATGTTCCATCGTCGTCTACAAGTAATGCAACAGATGCTATACCCAGTCCCAACAATTATAGCTGGGCTCCTGCACTATATCAGCACAAGCATAGTAAGTGTAGCCATTTTTATAACAATTATATGAGATTATAAAATGTTTAAAAAAATTTCAGGTCAGAAGAACATTTTAGAGGCTACCATGCAGATGTCTTCTAATGATACTTCCAATAAATGCACTGCCGAAAAGTAAGTCAATTTTAATATATGTGTATGTATTGTATTACTGTATAACAATATGTGGTTCTCATAAAGTTAAAACTAAATTATCGTTATTACAGGTCATTAGAAGAAACTAATTCTTGAAATCCCTTTTAAATTACATCCGTTGTATTTAACATTACAAATATACTGTGATTTTTATTTATCTATACATTAATATTATTAAAGACGATAGAAAAGTAGTAAAAATATTAAAAATTAGACTTCATTTCTAAATCTAATAACATGGTAAGTGTAATGTTCGAGTAACTCCAATGCGTTTTATAGCAGGTACTAATTTTTATTGATGAACACAAAATATTACATGTACTTATTAATGTTGAAAAAATAATACCGTACTTGCTATGAAACAACATATTCATATACAACATATAGCTGTAACTGGATATTAGTAACAAATTAATTCTTCTTTCAGCTTAAAAAGCAGACACGAAAGAAAATATGATAAATATCATTCCATATTAAGTAGTTCAATTTACATTATTTATCATTATTTATTATATGCGTGTATATTACACTTTCAAAAAAAATCAAGTTTATTTAGACTAAAATATTAATATATTGTATAGTATCTAAATACTCAATGTTTTATTTTTTCAATGGTTATGGTATTACAAGTATAGTGACAACAAATTTTGTATTGTTCTTATGTGGTTGATTGCAAATATACCTACATAAAATGAGCACAGCCCATGACAGAAAAATAAAATAAAGTGCACAACTAAGTAAATATCCTTTATCGTTCTATCCGTTATACACTTAAATCTTAATTAACTTTAACACTATTTCAAATCACGTTGTACATTACTCGTTAATAATTTACATATTTCGACACTGTATCGAAAAGTACAATTTAATTACTATTTGTAGCTCAGCAACTGATGTTTATTTAATTTGCATAGTACTTAACAAAGTATTGTAAAAACATAAATTACTTTTTACTCTTATTATAAGTAACAGTACGTTTAATACATATTTATATCGCATACGAATTGATTTAAGAGTTAAAAGTTATTGTATATTTTTCGGATCTTCGTGCAGCACTAATAGAAGATAAGTGTTATCGCTAAGCAATAGTATGAATGCATTTACATATTTAATGATATTACATAATCCAAAATTCGTATGTTTACATATGTATATAACTTACTAAGTTTTTCGTATATACAATTTTACATCTAATTCAGTATTAAAAAAAGAAAATTTTGCACTCTCTGATTCTCCTATTTACAATAAGTGTATAAAACTTACTAAAAGTATCTAAGCAAATTCTATTCATAATATTAAAAAAAAAGTAAAATTGTTAATGTTTTTATAAAAAACAAAACTTTGTTCTTTTTTGTAGAAATATGATTTCTAACAGTATGCATGGAATATGTAGTGGAGAAAGAATAATTATTATCTTATATTTCAGTTAGAAAAATAAATTATTAATGTTACACATTACTTTGCATGTGAGCAGCAAGTAATTCATCGCGAACTTTTTCATCGCCTGGATACTCACTCGCTTTTTCTTCATTTGGTACATAATGAGTATTATTAAATTTGCAAAAATACCTTCCAATTGCATGATGACTTATCCAATCCGGATTCGAGGCTAGTTGCAAATTTTCTAATAATAAATCAGAATATTTTAGAAGATATCCTTTTCCTTATTTTATAAAATCAACAGTAAAAGAATCGACAATACCTTGGGCTACATAATGACACGATCCATCATTTACAAAAACATTATAAAACGGTTGATCTGCACCGTGAGTTAGTTCATCTACATTCATTTCATTCATCCACTCTGTAGATGCCATACAACGTGTATCCCATCCTGTTATTACACACAAGTATCTAAGTATTTTATGCTCCATTATTAGCCCTATCGCGTATTTTACTTCTGGTACTCTTTCCTTGGGTTCTATTTCTTTCTAAAATATATGTAATGACGTTACTAAAATGCTTCAAGTAACCTAGCAAGTAAATACAACAATGTTATTGCTATTCCTACCTTCAATTGTAAATTTTTTTGATATTCCTGAAGTGTTTTAAATGTCTGTGAAATAATACTTGCTTGTCCTCTTGATGTCAATTCTAAATCCTATAAAGTTTTAATAAGATTTTTATTCTAATGCGATGCAATATTTTACAATACATCGTTAAAACTTTATAAAATACCTTTTGCATGTTCTCTAATATTTTTACTAATTCAGTTAAATCCATATGCTGTAACAGATATATACGACCTAACTGCAAAATTATATCTGCATCACTTGGTTCTATCATGTATCGAAGTTCAAGAGCCGAACGAAGTCTTGCAGTTCTCCTATTTATACGAGTATGTTGTCTAGCAGCTATTTCTATATTGCTTGCCATTCGCGTTATCACCTGTTACAAGTTATGTCGAATAATAAATGCAAACGTAAATAACAGACAGCAATTAGTCATTCACAGAATGTAGAGGCACAAACCTCTACAGCAGTTGCTGGTTCATGGATATTGTATTTTTCTATTGGGCATCTAGAAACACCAATTCTAGGACAATCTCTCTTAGTTAGAAATTCGCCACCATTAAAAACATCAATATAAAAGTTTTCTGTATTCCTTGCATTTGGGCCACTAAAATAAATTAAAAGATATTGAAATGTTTATGCATGGGAATTAAATTGACATGAAAATAGAACTATTAACTTACTATGTTTCCTTCCATCGTAACAAAAAATGTGATGGGAAACTAACAGGTTCACAACGTATACCAAGTCTTCGAGCAACACTTTCAAACACTATTGCTAAAGTTATAGGAATTCCACGTTTTTCTTCTAAAACCTATAAAAATCCATATTATTATTTATCAATAAATATGATATTCAAAAATGACTAAATTTTATTATCTTAATCTATGTTAACTTACACAATCTATAAATGATGTTTCTAATAAATAGTACATCTCACTATTTCCATAAAATCCTAATTTTTTGAATAATACTTCACAAAGTGCATCTGTTACTTGTTTTGTTTCTGAAATGCTCCACTGATTGTCATCTATAATATGATTCTTCCAATAATTAAATTGTTCTGCTGGAGTTGAAAATATAGTATGACTTGGATATTGCTCTTTGAGTAGTTCTTTGGTTTGCTCCGCAATATTATCTAAAGCCGATGATATTGATGAGTATGACAAATCCTTTTCAGGCTGGCTCCACTGTGCTACAATAGTTGCACCACGTTCTAATGTTTGTTCATTTCTTGGTAAAGATATAAATTTCTGCCACTCATTTTTTAAGTGAGTTTGTTTCAAATATCGAATAACTTTAAGAGCATAATATCTATGTGTTAAATTGCTTGCTCTAAAAAGAATATATAACAACAAAAGTAATATTTAATGCTTTAAATCACTTCAAATATACTTACTTAGCAGGATATTTGATCAAATTCATGAGTTCATCCATAAGATAATAATAGCCTAATGGATGAGCACCTTCTTCCGGGCGAAATAAAGGAACAAACTCTTTAAATTCAATGTCAGATAATTCCTGCTTCCAATAATGTTTACTGGACATCATAGATAAATGATACATTAACTTCTTCCTAGTATTTAGACTAACTTTTATTTCTTCTTTCCAAATCAATTGTTGATTCTCTAATTTTTTGTTTTCTTGATATGCTTCTTTTAGAAGTGGCCATCTGTTTCAAGAACAAAATTGTTTAATTTTTTTTTCAATAAAAAGTAATATTCTTTATATTTTTAAGTCACTAATTTTTGTTTAAATATTTAGATTATGTGTTAAATATATTATGTGTGAAAGTACACTAAAACTAGACTTTGCAAAAGATTCAATGTAAAAGTAATTAAAGTCATAACTAACTAATATGCAGAGCATGTTTTTACACCATTTAAAAAGGTAGCTATCTACGTTTATAGTAATTACAACTGAAGGTTATAACAGTATATATTAAAGATATTTATACTACCTTGTAAAGTAGCAATTTACGTCATTTAATCATAGCCTTATCATAAACAAAAATTTTATTTAATTGGCAAAGTGCTAAAAATCATGTAATATTTTTAATAAACAAACAATTACCATCAGTTATATTCAGCTATGTTTAACTTTTGATATTTTAAATAATTAAATAAATACCTTTGAAAAAATTTATTCTTCCAAAGTTTGTTACTGTCGTTGACAATTTTGTGCAAGTGTTTGCATGACAAACTGAAATTAATCACATCCAAGAAGTTAAGCCGTTTATCTTCCAAAATATACACGACAATCTCTTCAGGTAATGATGTCATTGCGTCACATGCCATTTCTTACAATTTATACCTTTGTGATCAAATTAAATTATAGAACAAATGTGTACATGCGATTCTATAATGCAGCAAAACACTTCTTCACTCTCTATCTGTCATCGTATTGTCGCTACTGACTTAACATCACGTCAGTAGCTTTTTGATGTTCTTATTCTTGATAGAAGCTACAGTTCACAGTGCGCACTTCACACTTGTTCACACTTGAGTTAAGATAGAATCACAGATAAAACATAAAATAGAACTAACATGCAATGTAAACTTCCATCCCCCTTACCATTTTCGTGTCACATGCGACATTATCGATTTAAACTAAAGTAAGTTGATGGCGCTACTGAAATTGCGGGAATTACAATCGAGTACATATTTATATTCAAGTCATTTATATAAAGTTAGTGTATACATAGATAATACACTTTATATTTTTTTGGGATTCAATCATGATATATTTATTTCATACAAAATGTAGAGTAGGATACTTAATTCTTGAATAAATTTAATATGCATGATAATCCATAGTTTGACGAAGTGTCATACAATCGACTTCGTCGATTTTTAACGTGTTCATTTTAACATTGATATCTTCTTCTATTTGAATTTGAGTTTTCAGTAAATAACGCAGTGATGCCTGAGCCTATAAAAATAATCGTTAATAAATAACCGTACGATTAGAACTAAGTAAAAAAAATACAAATGGATAACGGTATTATTAAACCTCGAATAAAGTTGCTTGTAATTTTGATACAACTTCACGCAAATCGTATACTTCTTTAACAAGGTTAATTTCAACTAGATCTCTCGTAAGTTCTAAACCAGGCCGTTGACAGCGGTTTCCAAGTCTCGTATGCGCTAAGGCTAAATATCTTTCCTTTTCCGCGATTGATTTTTCTATGCGTGTGATATTCTGTGTCATTTCGTTTGCTTGTCGCATTATCTACATATGTGCATACAATACAATTTTTTTATTCAATCATCTTCACTCTTTATACCATAATTATACCAATTGTAACCATAAAATTGTAACCATAAAACCTCAGAATGCTGTAATTCCAACTTTATTTTAGTTTCCTTTGTTTCTTCAATGCGTCGTCTAAAAGCATCATCGGTAATATTCTTTTGCTCGTTTAAATCGTCGACTACCTGCCTAATAGCCGTATCAATATAACACCGCATTGGTCTAGCGCTGTTCACTTCCTTCGAAGCGGCAATGATATTGTTATTCGTTTGCATTTCCCATTCATTCAACTCTATAGTTCTTCATAAATAAAAACATACATTACAGTACAGTAATCGTAATATAATATTAAACAAGAAATTAAAGTGATACTTGCGATGGGTCGAGTCGTGAAGTGCCATGATAAATACTTAAATTTAAGCTATTCTCTTTCAAAGTTAGATTGTGTCTGTCAATACGTAAATTATTGTCCTTATCTTCTAACTCATGGTCCATATAATAAAGCGTCGCTTTTAACCGCCGTATTTGTTCCTGGGTTTGTTCTAAAATTCGCATCAATAGATTTTCAGCACCCTTAATCACCTCGCATTCTTTCAACAATTCTTTCTCAACGTCGTCGCGAACTAAGTCAATTCCTAATCTATGCTCTCTGTAATAAAATGTCGGTAATTAATGATATGTATACATTAACTTTTATATATATCGAATAATTTTTTCTTTTAATATTTTGATCTTATTTTACGTTCCTCATGCAAGACGGACCTAAAAATAAGACATTTTTCGCAAATAACTAGAGCATTTCTCTTTACGGACGATAAAGCGTCCATGATACGTTCCTTGTATATCAGTAGAGCATCAGTTTCAAGAAGGACTTCCTTTCTTATGCGTAATAATTCTTTTTTGCGAAACTCGATATCCTCTACTTTTTCTTTGATTCTATAGTCAGTTTCTTCTTTGTTATTTCGTACTTTTTCAGTAGTCGATTCGCATACCCTTTGCGATTCACTAATGAGCTGTTCCGCTAATTCTTGTTGCGCTTCAGAACATCGGTACCTAGCGAATAAGTTTTAATTTTTAGTTCATTTAATTTCTAAGTCTTTGGTAGACAAATATTTTAATATAATATAATTTGAATTGATTAATCATACCTGTAACGATTGGTAAGATGCCATTCATTTAAAGTAAATTTCAATGGAGGCGGGGGGACCACTATAGGCACGTGTTTATTTGACATTTTGATTTAAAATTTTGAAAATTTCTAATCTGCTTCAAAAACTGAACACTACTTCTTTAAAGCGGCTGATTCGCGGTTTGATCTATACCTACACGACTGAATCAGTAAAAGTGGTTTCTATAGAAACGTTGTTAAAATTTGAAATGTAACCTACTACTAATTAATTTCTTTTAAAATGATGATAACCAAAAAATATAGAAATATATTATACGTAAAAGGATACAATTATGTTTTATATAAAAATCATGTAAAAATAGTCACAAATATCGGTATAGTAATAAATGATGTTATCGAGCGCGATCTTCTGCTAAGTGATTATGTTTCGTATCTATGTCGATTTTATAGTCATGGTGGATGTCGATGTTTTCGCCTTATTTTTTAATTTGCCGCGTATGCAACGCTGTGACACAATGGCGGCTTCCGTTATAAGCTCCTACTTTTTGTCGATCGTTTTCGATAAAATATAAAGATCTGTCGAAAGTGCGCTCTTTTCGACAGGTTTTAGACGTTCAAAAATGACATAGTAATATCAAAACTTTAAGGTACTCGCGGAGAGGATTTCTGGGGGGTATTAATACACGTTACAAGGTATGGATTCCTTTGATCAATAACACATTTCAGAATTTCAACAATAAATTACATATAATATATTTTACATCTAAAAAATTTATTCTTCTAATTTTTTAGAGTTAAATAGTCTTACAACAAAATGTCAAAGCGTCCTGCAGAAAGCGGGGATTCGGGTTCCCAACCGCCTATTAAAAAAGTTCAATTTGAGCCGATATTAATCGGACCTATATCAACTTTGGAAGAAATGGATATGAAAGTTTTACAATTTCAAAACAAAAAATTGGCTCAGGTAAGTTGGTAGTGTATTATGCATTTATAAAATTTTGTATGAAATTTTGTATTAAAAAGAATGTTAACCAAAATTCTGAATTTCTATTTATTTTGTGTTTTCTGTTTTTGATTACAATGTTTTAGTATAATGCCATTATTTTTATATAACTTAACTATGGTAATAATTACTAGATTAACATGTAATATATGTTTTTAATGCTTAGATTATTACAGCTTGTTTTATTTGTTAGAATATAATAAGTTTTCTGATCATTAGTTTGTATACTTTTTTTTGTAGCGGTTAGAACAACGTCATAGAGTAGAAGCTGAATTAAGGCAACGAATTGAACAATTAGAAAAACGGCAAATGCAAGATGATGCAGTACTCAATGTTGTTAACCGTTATTGGAATCAGTTAAACGAGGACATACGTGTATTACTTCAAAGATTTGATGCTGAAACAGCTGATGAGTCAGAAAATAAAAGTAAGACATAACAATGGAGTCATTGTGTAATTAAATATATTTTTATATGTAATGTTTTTATTTATATTTATAGATGAAAGTGAAGCTACAACATCATTTCTCATGCAGTTGTCTTCTTGGGACAAAGAAGAGTTAGATGACAAATTAGCAAACCGTGTTCAAGTGTCCAAACGTGCTGTTTCTAAAGTTGTACAAGCATTTGACCGTCTTTCACAAAGAAATGAAAAAATTACTCTTGCACTAAAAGGAGAGTTTGATGGAGGTACTTTAATTTAATGCATTAAAAAGATGTATTGGATTAAAGTAAAAACTGATAATGTTACTACATTTCAGAAGAAGCACCAAATATTGATGAAGTAGTTCGCAGAGCAAATGCTGAAATACAAATGGAAAATAGAAATCTTCAAGCAATAAATATACAGCTTCATGAAAAGTACCACACTATTTCCTTGAAAGTATGTTTACTTACTTTAGCATATCACATATGTATTTGAATATATATTAATAATTTTGTTGCATCATAGATGTCAGAATTACAAGATACTATAACAGGAAAAGATACACTTGCTGCAGAACTTCGCAATCAAGTGGATGACCTTCAGTATGAATTAAATAAAGTACGAGCGCGCAATGACAAATTAGAGCATCATCTTGGAGAAGCAATTGAAAAGTTAAAAGCGTTTCAACAAATACATGGCGCTGACGAGAAGGGTAGTAATAAACCAAGTACCTTAGTTGCATCCAGTGTTTCACAAACAAAGGTAAGATATGTTTCATATTGTATTAATTGTTTGGCTAATTTTTAATATGTGTTAATTTGGTTTTGTTGTACACAGCTCGAAGATTTGCAAAGAGAATTAGAAGAAACAAGAGAACTAGCTAATAATAGGTTACAGGAATTGGATAAATTACATCAGCAACATCGTGATGCGTTGAAAGAAGTAGAAAAATTAAAAATGGATGTGAGTTCTTTAGTTTTTGTAAATATAGTTTTTATAATGCACAGTATTAAATGTAAATTAATGTCATGTGCAATAAATGTTTAAATTATACTTGCTTTTACTTGTTTCTTGTGTTTTACTTCTTTGCATTCAAATAAATATACTGTAAAATAAATGTATGGAGGGGCTATTTTAACATTACATGTAATATTGTTTTGAATTTTATTTTGAAAAGTATTTTATATTTGCAGATTCGACAACTTCCAGAATCAGTTATTGTTGAGACGACAGAGTATAAATGCTTACAATCGCAATTTTCCGTATTATACAACGAATCCATGCAACTGAAAACTCAATTAGATGACGCCCGTCAACAATTACAGTCTAGCAAAAACGCACATTTACGTCACATTGAAATGATGGAGGCAAGTGTATTTTATATTATTTTATGTATATTTATAAAGCGTGTGCTAATTTGCATACACTTATTAAATAGAGTGAAGAATTAATGGCTCAAAAGAAATTACGTGGAGAATGTATACAATTGGAAGATGTTTTAGCTCAATTACGAAAGGAATATGAAATGTTAAGGATTGAATTTGAACAAAATTTGGCAGCAAATGAACAGACAGGCCCAATCAATAGAGAAATGAGACATTTAATAACATCTCTTCAGAATCATAATCAGCAACTCAAAGGCGAAGTTCATCGTTATAAACGGAAGTACAAAGAAGCTTCTTCAGAGATACCACGGGTATGTATTTTATTATATTAGTATGCATAAAGAAGATAAGTTAACAAGATCTTAATAGCCAGTATCTATATTTTACTGTAGCTAAAGAAGGAAATAGAGGAATTGACGACAAAATTGGGGCAACAAACTTCACAAGAAAATAAAGAAGGCAATAATTCAGATGGAAGCGGCAAAGAAGAAGATGCATCAAACTCACTTCCTGGTTCTACACATGTATAAAATAAATTCATATTTTCAAAACGTGTGCTATGAGCATGATTTTACAAATACAGTTATTTTAATCGTTTTACTAATATAGATTAAAGAAGAAAGTGGAGTTTCAATTAAAAGAGAATCTGGTGAAGAGGAAGTGGAAACTATTGAAGTTGGAGAAGGAGATGGAAACAAAGGTACTCCGGATTCTTTGACCTTAACTTCTCCAACTCTGAAGAAAGAAAAAGATATTAAACGTGAGAAGGATATTAAAAAAGAAACTATTAAAACCGAGCATCGTGATCCTGCGCATCGTACCAAAGATACGAAAATGGCGGAATCAGAACTAGTTAGGGATTTGAAAGCACAACTCAAGTACGTTTATGCAATAGTATTAATAATTTTTTAACTATAATTTTTACTTGTAGAGTAGTAAGAGGAAATTAAAGCTTTCTGCAATTATAACTTATTATTTTTGCACTGTCTCCGTTATTGACACATTATTATAATTATAGAAAGGCTGTGAATGAAATGAAAGAAATGAAATTATTATTAGACATGTATAAAGGTGTTGGAAAAGAACAAAGAGATAAAGTACAGTTAATGGCAGCTGAACGAAAAACAAGAGCAGAATTAGAAGAATTACGTCAACAAATAAAAAAGATTCAAGTATATATTTGTTATATGATTTCGACAAATATTTTTTAAAAATATTTAATGGATTTGTAACAACTAATACATTCCTTTTAGGAAAGTAAACGCGAGGAACGTAAGAAGTTGGCCGATGAGGATGCACAGATAAAAATAAAAAAGTTAGAAGAACAAGCGTATACGCTTCAACGTCAAGTTGCATCTCAAAAGCAGGTAAGTTTACATACCTAGTAAATGATATAGAACATCAATTTTGCTTGAAATCATGGACAAGTGGTAATGCTAAATAGAACTATGTGTGGTTACAGGAAGAGGAGGCTCTTTTAAACGAGATGGAAGTAACTGGACAAGCTTTTGAAGATATGCAAGAACAAAACTCCAGATTGATTCAACAATTACGCGAAAAAGATGATGCGAATTTCAAACTTATGACAGAACGGATTAAAAGTAATCAACTGCATAAATTAGCCAGAGAAGAGAAGGACGTTTTGAAAGAACAAGTTTCCACGCTAACAGCGCAAGTTGAAGCTGCTAATGTAGTTGTCCGCAAATTAGAAGAGAAAGAACGTCTTTTACAAAACTCACTTGCTACTGTTGAAAAAGAATTAGCTTTAAGACAACAAGCAATGGAGATGCATAAACGAAAAGCCATCGAAAGTGCTCAGTCAGCGGCTGATTTAAAACTTCATCTCGGTAAGAGATTTATTTACAAATTTGTTTGCTTCTTTTACAGATGTCTTTCAATGCATGTTTTTGAACTTTGTTTAGAAAAATATCACTCTCAAATGAAGGAAGCGCAACAAGTCGTAGCTGAGAAAACAAGTTCGTTGGAAGCAGAAGCGTATAAAACAAAAAGATTACAGGTAAATGTTAAGAACTTTCATAAGACTACTAGTAGTCGAACGTAAAATAAACAAGCGAATTAATAAATTGCTAATGATTATTATTATGCTTTGTTACAGGAGGAAATAGCGCAATTGAGACGCAAAGTTGAAAGAATGAAGAAAATAGAACTTGCTGAAACATTAGACGAAGTAATGGCCGAAGAGTTACGGGAGTATAAGGAAACTCTCACCTGTCCTTCTTGCAAAGTGAAACGTAAAGATGCAGTTTTAACCAAGTGTTTCCACGTATTCTGTTGGGATTGCTTACGTACACGGTATGAGACTAGACAGCGAAAGTGTCCAAAATGTAATTGCGCTTTTGGAGCTAATGATTATCATCGTTTGTACCTCTCCACATGAAAAAGGAAACCTTAAACATGTGTGGTATCTCTTAATTTGATTGCGTCAAACTTTCTTAAGATAATGATGTGCACGTGTCTTATTCCTTCTATTTATTATACTGATCATTGGAAAGCGAGAAGTACAATTGCACATTATTTTATAAAGAAAGGTATACAAATAATGTTTGTAAAAATTTGCCATTATCTCGTCGAATGTAATATAAAAAAGGGGTATTGCATTTTTAAAACATTTGGTAGTAATTTTATTAAATATATTCGAATGCACAAATTACTACTTTTTCATAACGTTTTGATCTCATGCAAGGGACGAAGTTAAATTTTGTGAGAAGCGTTTCTGATCAGCGCAATTAACGGAATATTAGAAAGATCAACTGTTATATAATTTTATTCAATCTTAAAATTCGGCTCGAATATAATTTAGTTATGAATTGAACCGGAAAGTCGGCTGAATTTTAAGAGTAACTTGAAATGATAGGAATATTGTAATATATTATAAATAGAAATTTAAAATATTTACTATAGGATTAAAAGTAACGTAATGATAAATACGCGGAACATACTTATTTGATAATTGAACTACTTTATAAAAAATTCTTATTTAAGATATTGAAAAATTAATTTCATAAAAAATTACTTCGTAGTACTATTTTTTTCTTTGGAATAATTGAATCATTAGAAAATATATTAGGAACGAAATTATAATAAGAGAATTAATTTATTATAATAGAAATGTACCGAGTGCATAAAATAGAAAGATCTTTGATTTAGAAACATTCTTTAATTGTAATGTTATTTTATATTATACCTAGTATAATCTAATTCTTTTTCTACACTTTTTCTTAATAAATATTTCAGTTTCTTTTATGAAGGTGGGAAACATAAAAATGTTTCTGGAATATTTACACTATATAATATATGTGAATGTCGATTTAAATAAGATTAATTGTAAAAATAATATCGTCATCGTTCATTGATGTAATTTTCAATATTTTGTAATAAAGATCAAGAAGTGTATTAATGGTTTAAAGCGTAGATAGATATAGCTTTTAAATCATATTTTTAATAATTTATAATAATTGATTGTATCACGTTTTTAAATGAAATTAACGAATGTACGTCAAGTTATACAGTAAAGGATGTTTCCTTCCTGACTTATATAGAAGTCTGTTGTTACCTTACTTGTCTATGTATAAATTTACGATATAATAGATACTTTCCATAATAAAATGTTAGTAGGGATAATAAAACCTTGTTAATACTTGATATCACTGTATAAAATGAAATACATGTTATGTGAACAATTTCTTCAAACAAAAGATAAACTTTTAAAATTCAAGAAAACAATTTTATATTTTCATAAACTTTGAATAAACAAGGTTTTATTAGGTTTATCTGTTGTTATAATGAAAAAAAAGTTTGTCACTGCATTTATAAAAATTTATCATAAAGGAATTTGTACCTAAAATATAGAAACTGTAAAGAATTTAAGGGTTTTCAATAATATGCTTGTATAGAAGTAGTAAATATGAATTCTGTAACGAGAGCATAGTTTTCTAAAAGCACATTTTTGAAATTATTTTTTGTAATTATTCACAAACTATAAATATTTTAAAATAAATGAAGTTTTGATTGTAAAAGCAAAATGTTACAATAAAAAATGAATGATGGACTTTCATTATGCATGACAGATATTTATTCTTAAATTGATTAGAACTTTTAACAGACTTTTAGAAAACTGTCTTCATTAAAATTATAAAATCAAATTTTCATTGTCAGAATGATTTGTTAACGTGGCTATTAGAAAATGAACTATTTATAAATAACATTTTGTTTGCAATTTTGTAAACCGTCTGATATACACATATTTATTGCAATATAACAATAATACAATAAATTCGATATTGTAAATTTATTTATTTGAAGCGGGGGACCTAATGTCCTTTTACAGACTTAATTATTATTAATATTATTATCGACAATTGTTAGTAGTAAATAAATCATCTATATACCTTATTAAAAGATACTCGCTATCGTTAAGGGCAATTGAAAATTTTTGATACATTTTGCACTTCACAAAATATCACGAACACTTTTATTAGATGCAAGTTTATTCAATAAAAAGCATATAGTACGTTATGCACGTGTGTCTACGTATACGTATACATATGTGTATGCATAAGTATACGTAAAAGATTTTTGTGTAAATACGAATGGAGGACAAATATACGTTATTATAATAGTTTTCTGACAGTAGTGTTATTTATGTAATAATAAAAATTTTCGTTTCTTTGTATAACGTAAAATGCAGCAATTGGTTTATATAAAGTTTTATATGGAATTGAAATTAATTAATTTGTATATAACTACACATTTTTAATCGTATAAACATTATATAAATTTAGTTTTTGTGTTCAGTAAATCCTGATGAAAATAATAAAGCTTATGAAAAACATTGTGTATCGTTTGTTCAATCTTTCTTTTCCAATGTTTTATTATTTTTTAATGTACTATTATAATTAAACATTTGTACAAAATTGGTTTTATGCAAATAACTTTTAATCACAATATAAGACAGCTATAAAATCTGAAAAAGAAATGCGTAAATTAAAAAGAAAGTATTACAACGAAACAAATGAAATTAAGTAATTAGAAAATATAGTTAATACAAATAGTTGCACTATGAAACAACTCGATTAACATTATTACTTATCAAATAACTTAAGCTTCTATCTTTAGTGTATTATAAAATGAGGTCTGATAAAGGAAATATTTATTCCTAAACTTCTCTTAGTACTACATAACAAATACTATCAATTAGATCGAACGTACATACATACAGCGTAGTCTCGCTATATGATCTCCATATATGTGATATATTTAGAGAGTACCCCTTCATACGAACTTTTGAAGATTGATATCGTTTTGTTTCTGGCTGACGAATAAGTTTGCAAGTTCCCTGTAAAATGTAAATTTTCAAAGTTTAAAATTTCAGAATTAAAAATTATTCAAACTGAGAAATTTATAATTCGCAATCTACACGGCTTTCAATAGCCATATAGTGAAACTCCACTGTACATATTGCCATTGGCGCAACTAGTTAAGGACCACGGTGGGTCTGGTCCTTTTCAAATATAAATTCTTCCCTTCATCAGAAATCTTATTGCAATATAAATTAAAATGTAATGTGCAGCAAATACAAAACACACAATGATATCCTTGTCACATGAGGTTACGAATATAAATGATATTAAGTTGCTCTAGCCACTTTTAGTACATCTAGAATACCTGGCCCACCTCAGACAAAAGTCCTAGTTACGCCGATGTACGAATTATTTAAAAATTATATATTAAACAACAACGAGTGGATTCGAGATACAAGAAGCTCCTCAGTGTCACATGTTTCTCAGGCCCTCTTGCACTTTGATAGTTTAAAAAACATGAAATGCTTGAAGAAGGACACTTTGTTAATGTTTAACTGATCATTTTTTTTATTGGTGAAAAAGCTTTTGTTAACCAATCGATTACATTCACTTTACACAACAAATATGTAGTTTCGCAAAGTCAACCGTTTATCGACAGGGTGTATTCGGCGTGTAGTTTACTGATGATAAATCGCATCTTTAATAATCGTATCTATATATGAGTCTCTTTCTCTCTTAATGTCCTTGTGTCTGGGTGCGTATCTATTTACGCGCGAGATCTTTTTGTAAATGTCAACGGTCGCGCGCTCGGGTGCATCATGAATGCGTGCGTGCATGCGTGCGTGCATGTATGTTGTGTATGTGCAAAAAATCATTTCGTCGCTTCGTTTTCCCATTTGTTACGGGATCGTTGATATTACAAAAACGAAAAATTGACCGACGATGGTCAATCCGAGTCGCGTGTCGATGCACATATATATGTATATGTTATACCTATAAAATCATATATACGAATGACAATTGATTTTACATTCAATTTACAACTCTGACATTTCGCGATAAACTTCAGCTTTGTCGTACGAGGTAACAGGGCTTCTTTCCTCGAAGCAATTTTCGATAGTTGTAAAAACATATAAAATATGAAAATGGTTTTTATATTAAAAATCAGCAAAGCTTCAATTCCAAGAGAGAACTGAAGTCAATTCAGCAATGTAATCTGAAATAAAATCTAAAAGTTTGACAATGGAACCTTTATACTCAAGTTATGCATACATTGGTGTAATTAAGATTTTTGTTTGGGGTGGGCTAAGTTCCCTAATTTTAAAAATTTGATTATTTCTGAATTGAGAATTTGGAAATTTGGGAATGTATTTGGAAATTTAAGAAATTTAAGACATATTACGTTTCATTTTCTTCACGCTATATTGTATATTTTGGGAAGACTAGGCCCATTGTGGTCCCTGCCTAGTTACGCCAATGCATGCATCAATTAAATTTTGCAAATTTACAAATTATAATACTTCGCAATATATAAACTTGACGCTATTATTTTTAAAACAGTAATATTTTTTTCCAAGATATCGGATAATTTACAAATTCGTAAGAATCTAGCAGAATAATTCTAATGAAATCTGAGAAAAGTTCAATTAAAAAAATGAATTAGTCTCGTTTTTGTTGCAAAATATTCAATTGCGCACATACATATATATATCTTTATATTTATACGCCTATATACATATATATTGATCGAACGTGAAAACTCCGTAAGTATGAACGAGCTATAACAAGAAAAGCCACAAATGGCGACTAATATATGAGCAGAGAAGATATATGTAGATAGAGCTACTGACGGAAAGAAACAATAAAAATTACTTAGCATGAATGCAAGTATGCCTCTTTCTTAACGTAGCAATTGTGTCCAGGAATGTTTACAATATTCCCGCAATATCTCGTAATCGTGATATATTTAAAACATAATTGTGTTGTTAAAAAATGGTATACGTACACGTTTATATTACACATTATATAAATATATAAATACACCAGTATTTTTATATTCATATATGTATAACGTTCATAAAATTGCCTGCAGTTTTTCCTTCATTCGTGTAATTCCATAATTGACTAAATTTTATATTATGTGATATTAGCTAGAACGAGAGTTGTGCGTACACAATCCCTATAAATGCTCACGCGCGTTATGACGCATGTATCATTCAATATTTTCCTATTATATATTACATAATATCCAGTATCATAGTATTATATAATATATAATATTATACAATATGATTACTCTTTGTAATGAGTTTTTATTTACAAAATCAATACCTCCCTTATAACGAGATTCAAATTTTTGACTACCTATGCGCTATCATCTACAAAATATTTTATTCAGTCCTCCAAACAATGTTTCTACTGTATTTTCCATACGATTTTTCGGGACTCTGACCTCGAAAGATCGACTGTATGCATATTTATTTCTAAAAAAGAAAATTTGTCTCGAATGAAAAATCTAGAGAGCGTATTTTTTCTAACATTTTAATTTTGACCTTTTCCTTCTTTCGGATATTAAGCATTAAATCTGTTTCTTTATAAAACAATATAGTATCTTGCCCTTTCTAGATTTAATTATCAACTTCCGTATTTTTAAAACTGTTTAATTTAATTTTCAGCGACTATTTTCCATAAAATTATTTGACCTACTCATGTGTCATATATGCAATAAAATAAATTATTATTAAAAATATCCGAACCATTTGTTGGATATACTACACAATTGTAAGACGAATAAAAATGTTCAATAACTTTACAACGATCGTTTGTTGTTTCCTATTAAATTATTAAATCCATACAGGTATTTTATAATAAAGTCTCATTCATGTATTATTGAAAGCTTCCTGCTGATTACTTTTACTGAATTTAAGTTACTTCATCATGGAACAGTTGTCATAAAAGTCTCGCTTCTTATATGCTACCGAGGCAAGATTAACAACCTATCATGTCTTTCTCGTTATTCAAAAGGCTTTGGTAAAGTCCAAAAGCGAAATAGAGAAATATTTTATAGATACGTACTACGCCCTACGATATATGCACAAATTAAGTCGCCCAATTGTGGTGTATGTGTAATGTAGCTGTTTTTTCCATATAAGCAGCACCATTTTTTGAACAACGGATGCCATGTAAACATTACTCGGGATAATTCACGAGCAATCGTAAATATCACTAAATGAATAGACCTGTATAGGTTTGTTCCTACGTGTATTAATGTAGATAGGTAATTCATTGAATTCACTGTGTTTAAAAAGAATTTAATATTGATCCTTAGATCTTTACTCTCTTCTTCCCTGTCAATATTTATATTATACTTATAATGATGATAATAATGTTCCAATTCCACAGCAATATTAATTGTGAGACCTATTAATAGGAATCGAATAATAGACTAAATTACAATACAATTTTTAAAATTACGAATATTACTGTTGAATAGCATTATTACCGCTTCTGTTGACAATCGGACATATCGTTCGATTTTTCCACTATTTACAGCTCATTGATTTTACACACAAGTTCATTTATCTCATCACCGTAGTCACTTCAGGACGCCACTGTAATTCTGATGAACATAAACGGACAGAACACCGGCACAAAAAATATCATTTAATTTTGTTTTTCTTCTCTTTGCATTAGGTCGATCGATGTATATCGTAAAAATACGAATATTCCACTCACAATTATCGTCAAGACCAAAAACAAGGACATATATCTTCCACGTATGCATCAAACAACAATACGAGGTTTTTATATAACTATTATAACGTTTTTCTTTTTTTGATATTTAGAATGCAGAAATCATTCTGTCTTAATGATTTCCAATAGTATTAACCTGGAAACACTAGAAAACAAATCACTTTTCTCCATAAGAATAACTTCTTTACACTTCTTGCACGACTTGAGCAGTTCCATGAGTATTTCACTATATAACATATGGGAATTAACACACTCATATTTACGAGTCATCATTCTCCTGAGTTAGATTCATCGTAGTGAGAAAATTTAAGGAAAACTTGTTCCAAAGTAGTTTGGCTGAAGCTGTACTCTTCGATGTCCAACTCAAGCTTGGCTAGAAATCAAATTTAAATTGAAAAACAATGTATAGAATAGTTAGAAATATTGCATTACATTCACGATACATTCAACAATTAATTATACGTTTACCTTTTTCCAACTGCATGAAACACTCGGCCAGCGAGTTAACTGCATGTTGGGGAACAGCGAAAACTAATCTGTCAGCAAAACTTTCCTCCAGAGTTGCATCTGGAAAAAGACTAGAAACGAACTCTTTCAAACTCGTAATCCTATCACCAGAAGGTGTCGTAGGTGTGCAGTCACCCCCTAAAAGTTTCATTTCTAGGGTGTATCCAGCACCGTATAGATTTTTCAAGTGTTGCGTTGAACCGATACACCTCAGTTCCCCTTTCACCATTATACCGACTCTAGAACACAAAGCGTCAGCTTCCTCCATTGAATGAGTCGTTAAAATCGCTCCTCTACCACCCTATTGAAGACAAATTTATAATTGAAGAAAATGTTCCATTTTAGAGATGAAGTAAACTGAATGATGAAACACACCTGAAAACTAGCAAGAATGGTATCCCATAAAAATCGCTTTGATCTAGGATCCATTCCTGTACTAGGTTCATCCATTAGGACAACTTTCGGACCACCTATCATCGCCATGGCAAAACTGAGTTTCCTCCTGGTTCCACCCGAACATTCTTGAGTTTGTTTATTGGCATGTTCATGAATTTGAAGACCAGTGAGATATAAATCCACAATACTATAAAATCAAGTTCATTTATGTTCGCAGGTTCTAGAATGTAAATAAAATAATGTTTCAATAAACTACCTATCGACATCTCCCCATGGCACACCACGAATCGCAGCATAGCATTCCAAATGCTCTCTGACAGTGATATTTTTCCATTGAGCATCATGTTGAGGGCAATATCCCATTTGTCTGAAAGCCTCTGCCATATTGGAATTGATATTATGACCACCGATCTGTACTCTTCCTCGAGTGGCTGCTTCTTCTGCTATGATAATCTTCATAGTCGTTGTTTTACCAGCACCGTTATGACCCAGTAAGCCAAGTACTTCTCCCGGTTCAACCGCTAAAGACAGATTTCTTACAGCAACCTTTCGTTGTATCTGAGTAGTGGCATCTTCATCTTGTTTAGAGCAACAACTGCATGATCCGGTATCTCTTTGTCGATATTCTTTTCTCAAGTTCTATCAAATACAATTCAATTAAAATGCGACTTCTGTAGAAAAGAATGAAGAGTATGAAATCCATTAAAGGCAATACCTGTACTAGAACTACAGGTGGTTCTTGAACCGACGATGAAGTAATAAGATTAAAGACTTTTTGTCTTTCAGCTTTAACGTCCGAGTCTTCGTGTTCTCCGATATCCGTGTTTTCCATGATTTCTTCGCCAACAGAACCACCATTACGCTACCAATACAAAACAACCATTTAACACAAAGTATATTTTTATATGATCGACAGTTTTTATATTTATACTATACTTTGTTACTAACCAGAAAGTGTTTGAAGATATCACTGACATTGCCACCGCTCTTTCTAATGTCTAAGATCAGAAGCACGAAGAACCACATTGGGCAGTGCAGAAGCACGCCAAAGGCCATTAAAATAATTTCCGTAGTTAAATAATCGGACATGGTGAGATGATGACAAGCAGCATTTATAGAGCACATCAAATGAACTCTTCCTACATAATATACTGCAGCATACGGTACGTACAGGGTGTTCAGTAACGAAAAGATTACGTGTAAAACGAATGCCGCCGTTCCACCTGGAAAATTTAATCGTTCCAATGTTATAATGCTTGAATTGTTCAACCAAAAGGATTTAAATTATGTTAATTACTAAATTATTATAATTGATCATAACTTACTAAGGCCCAGCATGTCCAGAATTGTGACTAGTATAAACGGAATAAGCCCAAAGAATGTTGCGATATTAGGCAAAATACTTTGAGCAGAATCCATCTTGTCAAAAATATAACTCATACATGTTGTGAATAGGATAGACGATGGGCAATAGAGCATCAGAAGACCGCTAAGAGTAATAAGTGCTGGTACTTCTTGAAGCGAAGGCACATCGAAGAGAAATATAATGCCAAGAATACATATACAGATGAATGTCATCAGGCCGACAAGTACAATGAAATACGTCAAGAAGTACATAGAAAACGACAGACCATTGACACGAAGTTGATTTTTCGCTTTTATCTGAAAACACACGCAGTAATGAATGTTAAATCAGAGTGTTTGTACATTGTACAGATACGATGTACGAAAAGGATATCTTACTTCACGATCATACACCATGTCTACGACTAACGTTACTGGTAATAAGACGAAATTCATTCCGATTGATACAGCTGAACTTGCTGTACCAATATTAAATTCCTGTGGTTGTGATGTTTGTTGGAAAGGATGCGACTTCACTTCGATTGGCTTAGAATTTTCTTTATCTGAGATCATTCTAATCACATAAACAATAATGTTTCATGTAGTAATTATATTAATTTAAAATATTTATCTAATCTAACAAGGGTACCTGTAATAGGTGTTAGATAAAAGGTTTATCACGATCGGTAGGGAATGTTGCATAGTGTCGTTATAAGCGATAGTTAAATCAATCTTGGGCAAACTGAACTCTGTAATATTAAAAGCGGCTATATGTGGTGCAATCTTCAACAAGTTTGCGAAGTTTCCATAGTATTCTTCAATGTATTTTACATCCTGACTAATTCCATCGATTAAATCTGAAATGTCATGATCGGTATTGTTTGCATACAAAATTTTGGTCTCATTGCCGTAGGTATCTGTTGAACAAGAAAAAAATATATATATACTTTAAACACCTGTTCAGATTATTATACAGAATAGCTCTCATAATAAGAAGTAAATCATACCGGTATCTAATTTTAAAGACTGCATTTTGACCTCAACCGTTTGAATGCTATTTAAATAGAGGCCAAGTACTATCAAAAAAAGAGGCGCAACAATAGTGAAATACAGTAACTGAATGTTTCTAATGAGTCTGAGTATCCTTAGGCGAAGCATAGCGTATAGGGTTTGAAGGAAATTAGGCCTAATTTTTATGGGGTCTAATCCAAGGCCGCGAACAGGAGGGTTTCTATCATTTTGAACGCCATCTGGTAAATCTCCTGCACCTAGAGTACAATACAATAGTGAAATTCGAACGTCATGAACATAATGATATTTTATGAGTGTTATTATGAATATACCTTTCGCTTGATTATCATTTGGAACAGTACCACCTTCATTCTGTAGACTCTGATAAAATGTGCTTTTCGATTGTAATGATAATGACCTGCTCAATGCACGATTACGCACCATTTTCTTCGACAAATTATCCATCGTGCATTCTGTACCTTCGTCTCTTTCCAAATGCAAGAATACCTCTTCTAAAGTAGTCATTGAGACTCCATAACTGCTGATACCTAATCTGCTAGATCGAGTCTTAACTTCGTGTTCGATAGCTGAGAATAGTGGTGCAAAACTTTCTACGGAATTGTGAGGTAAAATGAAGCTTAGTTCGCGACCATGACGTCTTGCCTTTTCCGCTTTTGAAACATGAGACATTACTAATCTGGTAATAGCGTGTTCTCTTGCATTTCCTTCAAGTACTAATCTGTTGGTATTTAACAAATTAAACAAATATTATAAAATGCAGGTATATAAATATCCTGTAGTTCGATTTAACTTACGTTAAGTGATATCCAATGCCGAATTTGTTTTTTAAGAATAGAGAACTACCGCAACATCTTAATCTTCCTTTGCTAATAACCGCTTTTCTATCTGCTAATATATCTGCCTCGTCCATGAAATGGGTCGTTAATAAAATCACTTTCCCATGACGCCTGGATTGTAAGAAGGACCACATTTGTCTTCTGGAGTAAGGATCTACTCCCGCTGTGGGTTCATCAAGGATAATAATTTTTGGATCTCCAATAATGGCGATACCTACAGACAACTTTCTTTTCTGACCACCACTTAAGTATTTTGCGAAAGTATCTGCATGTTCAGTTAAATCGATATCTTTCAAAGTTTTTTTGACCTGAAAATAAAAATGTCATTACACGGAATAATTATAATCGATTGTATCTTAAATATGTAGCAGCAGATGTATGTACCTCATGTTCGATCATTGATTTAGGAATACCGCGGACAGCAGCAAAGAACTCGAGGTGTTCTCGAGGCGTTAAAAGATCGAAAAGAATATCATGTTGTGGGCAAACACCAGTCATACTTCGTATCATTTGCATATCATTGGAATCTCTGACATCGTAACCGAAAATCAAGGCAGTGCCGGCAGTAGGTGCAGTCAGGCCAGTCAGTATATTGAACAAACTCGTTTTACCAGCTCCGTTGTGTCCGAGTATCGCTGTAATTTGCCCCTCATAGATTGTTAAGTTGATGCCATTCACAGCTTTAATCTCTGGTTTACGACATTTCTGATACGACTTGTAAAGATCGACTATTCTAATGGCTTCGCGGCCTTTCATCTCGCGTACGACTGGTTCAATATCACGGTTTGTCTCTTCACCGGGTATGAAAGAATTTGATTCGCCATTCGATGATGGTACCTGTAAGTACGTCTGTGAATACATTTTTCTATTTTCCTTCGTATACAGTATTTTTTATTAAAATTTATGAGACCCACCCGTGGAGCTTTTCTCTGACACCAAAATCCGGGTGTAAAACAAAACCAGGGAGTTCTTTTAACTCCATATTCACCTAAGACAAAAATTTATTTAATACTCAATTATTCGTTGATAATTTAAGAAATTTAAAAACATACTTGGAATGACGGAATCAAAATAATACGCTAAACAGGCGTATAGAAAAATATCCAGTGTCATCATAATGAGACTGCCTCCGAAAGGTATACCTGGACCAGACCAAAGATTGTCAAAATTGACTCCCTCTCCTTGTAAATCTAACACGAGAGCCTGTAATAATAAATATAATAATTACTTACAGATTACTTATAAATTTATTTGGGTTACATATTTTTATGAATACAAACCTTATCCATCGCTAAAGCAACGCCTGTTGGACTGAGGAGAGAAACCACCCAGAACGAAATGGAACTAGAATCTTTTACAAAAACTTGTATGAAATACATCAAGCTCAATATTGTTACTGAAAAATTACCAAGTACACCAGCAGTCTGAAATAAATAATTGCATTTAATAATAATACAATACCGATATAATTAATGAAATACTTACACGTGACTTATCAAAGAAAGGTGTTATCATGAACGCAAACATGATTATGGAAAAGCTGTAAAGTACTACCAAAAGGAATATTGGTAAAAAGTGGGTATGTTGGAACATTTGTAGTGTAAAAAGTAGTATCACTCCAACGGCAGAGAGTAACAAGACAAAGACGCTGTAGATAATGAACCATGACAACCTAAAATAGAAAAAAATTGATTTGTTATTAGTAAAAAAGATTTTAGTAAATTCTCCATTTTACTGTAAATAAAAATTTGTTCAGTAAAGCATATATTGGTAAACATGCACTGATTCTTTTTTTTAATAAAATTAACTAATAAAATGTATTAACTAATTTCTAAATAATACTACTACAGAAAAGCAAACCTACCAAAAGATAGAATCTTGTAGGCCCATTATCTTCATTCCTTCCTTGATCTTTTTCTCCTTTTCACCGACTATCAGGATCAGGAGGTAAGTGACGAATTGTGAAAGAGCCAGAACCATAAAGAGAGGTATAACAACTCTAAAGGCCAGCATCCAGTCTAAATAAAAGATATCCTTAGAAATATGCCCACGAAATAAAAACAGATACATTAAGGTTTAACTCCTAAACCATACACATCTTTATTTTTCTATGATTAATAATCTACCATGATTCTAATGTTGGTTATTTAACATGCATAGCTATGTAAAGAAATAGAAGAAGATCATTCATGAGAGTTAGCGAATGCTCTAATATTTTACCTGCAGTGAAAGCTTCCTTAGGAAACATTTCGAGTTTAACATTCGGTACGGTTATATCGGTATTTTGCGTGTCTAGCTGCAAATTAATAGCAGGCGTGATTAAGTTAATAAAATGTACTCCATACTATTAGGGCTTCAATAAAACGAGTTCAGAACATACTCTTATTTTCGTGGTATCCATTATCATTTGCAGAGCTAAGAAACCAGAGTGTAAATAACTATTTACAGGACATGATCCACCGGTTTCTATCGACAATACTCCACCCATCCAATGGCTTGTGTCTTTCCGACAAGTAACTGGAGCGGAATACAATTCAGTCGGTGAAGGCGGATTTGTGTATGAAGGATTGGTTCTTATCTCATATCTGTATAGTACATAAATTGCAATTTCATGATTAATGCACGACATTCATCTCACGAATCAAATAACACATTGAACAAAATTCAAATTATCTTACAGAAGATGCTGAGATATAGGTTGAGAATTTTCAAAGATTACTGCTAAGGGTACACTGTATGGATCTCTCCAATACGCTGCTTGTAGATCATCCTTTGTATCAAACACCATGAAATTCAAGGGAAGCTTGCCAGGATAATCCCACATCGATAACCATAGGGTATTCATTGCATTTAAAAAAATCTACAACAAAACAGATAACGATTTACATTTTGATAAAAGAGTTGGCAATTGTCAAAATACATACCAAGGTCTCTGTTGAGTTTGGAACAACAGCGACAGTGTTGTTCTTGTAACCATTGAATGTTTCGAATATACCACCTTCCTGTCTCTGCGTTGTCATTGCAGGGTAATTTGGATTTGGCGGCAATACTTTTACCACGATCAACACGCCTAGGATACAAAGGGGTAGAAAAATCTCCTGTAAACAAAATTAAAAATGTTTAATAAAAAGAAATTAAATTAAAATCTTTTAACACCTTCAGCTTGGAGATCAACGTATTACAATTCATTCGGCGGAAATGAATACAGTAAAATATTTTTTTTATTCTACAAAGCTCCCCTAACTCAGGGACAGTCTCCGGTGGCCGCTATAGCAATCACCGCGTTAATAATGCATGTCATATACATATCAATTTCAAAAGCAGTACTTTCGAAAAAGAACCATTTCCCTCGCAAGTGCATAATAATTATTTGGCCTGCACCCTCTTCTACACCTGACGTTCAAGTAAACCTGCGCAAGCGTTCGATATAAACCCACCCTTCGGCGAATACGGAAAAGTATATATACCGATTCGCTTTCATACTCGGTCACCATGGCGATCAACAACGGATCAGGCTAATCCGATTCATCAGGACGATTGTTCTCGACCCTCTAACAAGGATTTAGGTTCTGTCAGGCAAGTAAAAAAAATGTTGGTTTTTCAAGGTTGTAAAATATCAATGCATTGAATACAAATTTCTTTTTCTTTGAAAGATTTGAAGTTGAGTCATTGGAAAATTAAAATAGACTCTTACCAATGATTTAAAAAAATTAAAATTAGATTCCTTGCAGGAGTGTCTGAGAAATTCTGAGCGAGCAGTATAAATATAAGGGTGAGTCATGAAGTTTCTGCAAAATATGCACTACTAAGAATACTTATTCAATTTATACATCTTTTCTGTTCTTTATCAATCTACTCTTACTCATCGAAAGAGTTTCAATTTATTTTTTCCTATTAACAATGACTTCTTCAATGCAATACTCTTGAGTCCATTAGGAAGTCCTGTACATTTATAGTCATTTTTACAATAGATTATTAGATTAAAATGTACAGGTTCCAAAATGAAATACCATAATTAACAAAAATCACAAGTATCTTAATAATTTATGGAAATTAACAGCATTGCTGAGCAGAGTCAGACAGTCATGTAATATCATGACTTTCAGAATAAAACAAGCAAAGCGATGTCCTTTTACGTGGATATCGTTACAGAGGACTCTTTCTACGAGAACCTCACGCTGGGCGTGGTAAAGATTCTCGAGAATCTGCCATATATAAAAAATGTACGAATCGACAGAAGAAACGGATGCGAGAGTACGACTATTACCAACTGGGAGCAACGACATTGTTGTGTGCTCCCAGAGGATGTTAAAAACTTCTACGCCTCGATCGATGGTTTCTTGCTCCAGTGGAACCTTGAGATAGCTGGTAAACCCCTTTGGAGAATTATCCATACATTTCCTTTCTGTCAACTTTCATTCGTGATCATACATTATTAATATCATTTAATATCTCCGTTTCGTGCGTCTTTAATAGGACTATTAAAAAATTCCCATTAAGGGTTAATATCAACTTTAGAGTCCAAATCTTAACACAGCTTTTGTTAATACATATATAGTAAATTTATTGATCTTCGCATCGTCAATTGGTGTCTTCACGTTCATTACTCGCAGGTGAAGAATTTTCAGTTGGACGCATGGAAGTAGGGACATTCTCTTCCCTTAAACGGTACACGAACATCAAAGAACGTCCCACGGATTCCAGCAGCAAGCGAGATGTGTCTTCTTCCTCTTCCGTCGATTCCGAGAAGGCAGAAACGGAGGTAATTTCAAGTAGCGCGACTGATGTCGAGAACAGTGCTTCTGTTCTTCTGGAAGGAAGTGGTGCGCACGGTTGCAAGATGTTCGAAATCGCGCAGTGTTTCCCAGAAAGTGGCAAGGCCAAGGTCTATTTGGTGTATAGGATGAAAGCGGAACAAGAAGCACCTAGTATCTGGCTGCATCGAGAGGAAGCGAATCGGTGGTACCATTTGGCTGACAGTTTCATTGTATATTTTCGTATGATGCTGGTTCATCTCGGCTTGCCATTGTGGCAATGCTGTGTGGCGGGTGTGTCTTTGCCGACGTGGGTCGAGCAGGTGTACTTTCTTGTTGGTCCACATTTACTGCCTTCCATTATTGAACCCACGGAAACCATTTCCACGTCCATGTGGAACATGGGACCCACGAACGCTATCGATCCGGCCATTTTTAAAGCGAAGGAGGGAAAACAGAAGTGTTCCAGGAAGAAATAATGTTGGTTTAATTGATATCTTGTTTTTATCTTTTACGTATCTGTGGAAGGGAATAAATCTTGAATAATAAAATTCTGAATTATTATTGTTTACTACGTATCCTTGAAACGTTTTACGATATTATCAGCATCCTCGTGTCCAATTGAATCTATGTGTCCTTTCCAAATTTCCAAATGTCTTCCCGTTCCAATGAAACGAAAACAACGAATAATCTTCTTGGAGATCGCTCGTGCTAGTAACTGTACCACCTCGGTGACCAAGTTTATTTTAAGATTGCCAGCAGAGGAGATCGTTTCGATGTTATCCTTGATCAAGTGTATCGACAACGATGAAGAGTCGTCGCTGCGTTACTCCGATCCACGATAGAGATGTCTGAAGAAAAAAAAACTTGGTGAAAACAAAAAGTTCTGTACGTCTGTTCACGACGACCCTTGGCCCAGTTGGCACAAAGCTCACGCAAAAACAGCGACGAAACGAATTGGCAATACGCCCTCCAGTTTGGCAGTCGTGGACATCCACGGAACGCAGTCATTTTGTCGCCATCCGTGGAAACTAGTTGCGGAGGATCTTCCTCCTCTTTCTATATCGTTTCATGCTCTCGTGAATTTGGTTTACAGTGTACTGGCATCGAACGTGCATATTTTTCCTCCCCTTTCACCCCCTTCGTCTTCTAATGAAAATTCGATTTATCTTCAGGTCTCGACGACGCGGAACTCGCTGATCCGTAGAAACGTCCCGCTGATATAGTTCCGTGGCAGAGATTTTTAAAATGCTTTGTTGGGTACAGAGATAATTTTGGCGGAATTACATTGCATATTAAAATATAACTAATTTAGGAGCTTTTAAAATCTGAGACCTTGGAATTTAAAAATTTAAAACCTTACAAATTTTTAAGCATTGCACACTCAGATATTTATATGGAACTTAAGTGTATGAAATCTAATTATAAGAATAGCTTGGTATTAAAAGGTAAAGGGTGAATCTTCAACCCACTGAATATTACATGCGAGTAATTCTATCCACTTTTCTAGTAAGATTTAATCTCCTATACTTCAAAATATTTCATGAAATTGTTTCCGGTTAAGTAATTAGAATGAAGTGCTTTCTTGTGATGACTCACTTTGAACTCCAAATTGGAAGTAGTCCATATTCTCGAGATTCTTAATTACCGCATTTACATGTCATTTTCGAGTTACAATTGAATTATTAACAATACCTTATTAATTAGTTTCATATCTTCAACTAATTATTAAATAGAACAAGAAGGTATTCAGGTGATGTTCGTCAAACTTTTACAGAGACTTGTTAAGATAAAGGATTGATCGAAGCGAAGAGGGGAAAGGCATACCTAAATATAGCTCGTTAGTGGTGGAGAAAATCGATTTATACATAAAATAAGTATTACCGTGTCTATACTTAGTACTGCCCTCCCAGCGCGAACTAACTCAATTAAGATTCTACACTCTTATCATAAAACTGTTCGACTTTGCCGGTGGTGAACGGAGAGAAATAAAAATACGCTCGCATTAACGCGTGTGGTAATGCTCTCCTGCAAAGCGCAGAAATATCCTGACAGCTGCAGAAATATCGCATTGCTTTTTCTTCTGGTACCTTTCTGGGTCAATTACGGACCAGACCTACAAAATGTATACAATTTGTTTTAATCGCGAAACCCTAGTAGCTTTTAACAACCACTCGTGTGTACTCGAGTGTAATCAACGGCTTATACATACATACAGTGCGCGTAAAGTGTTAAAATAAGAAAACTGAAGCGATAACAAAAGCTTTGTGAAATTATCCTTTCCAGTTTCTTCGGCTCTAAGGATCGTCCATTCGATTTCCTTGATCATAGCGTATCATCTCGTTGGTTGAACTCCAAACGAAAGCTGATTCTTTAAGGCCAGGTGCTTGTGGTTAATGAGCTTTAAGAAAGCTAATAATGAACTTCTCACGTACCGCTGTAGTCTTCCGCTTGTCGCGCTTCTTCAGCAGAAGATTCCTCACGAGCATCGCTCGCAGTTGAGACAAGTAGACCCCGCACAAATCCATTCTGCGAGATGCACTCGTTCTCCTCTTGATTTCTGCAACACAAAACGAGCAAATCCATTAATGTTTCGAAACAAAAAAGAGAAGTACAATAAGCATTATATCGATGGCGATATAATATATTAAACTCTCGTTACTACGAAATGCACGTGACCATAGAACATGTGGTCCTTATTCTCTATTATGTGTAAATGATATGACTGAGGGCTATGTAAAGTGTTTAGTTACGGTTTATTGTTATTGTTTATATGAACTCGTCGGAGTTATCTAAAAATAATCCCTACAGTATCGACGAATCAGCCACGGAAAATATTCTTATCGATTAACATCCAGCTGCGCGGAGTTTGGCCAATGATTGGCCCCCTCTGGCCGTGACGAAAGTTTTCCCTTCGAACAACTCCGTGTGTTCAGAAACGAAGTCGCAGGCCTCTAACGTACAGAAACGATCGCGATGTGGTCGATAATTCGTCGTTTGCACTATTTAAGCATTCGCGCGTGTAACAGCGAGCAATATGCCAGTGAATATGTCAAGGCCTCCGAACAGTTTCTTGTAATAGCCTAACGAAAAAAAGGAAATGAGAAAAATTCAGAAAAAATAATATTCGTGTTAGGTAGACGCACAAGTTCGACCTGCTGACCCTCGAAAGAGAAACTACGTGACCAGGTCATTTCTGATCCGTATTTAGATTTTAACGATTTCAGATTATATTTATGGCTATTAATACTGGGAATGACTTATCGCTCATATCTGCGTGATATTTATGAGGCACTTATTTTGTAGGACCATCAGCTCGCTAAAGTTAGCATTTACTTTGTCAAAACTAACAGAAGATATTTATAAGATTGATCATATAACGCATAGTACAACGCATAGAAAATACAATGAATAGCAAATACAACATGTGGAAAATATAATGAGCAGCTAATACAACGCGTAGTGAATACAACGTATGGTAATTTAACTCTCAGAGTACAATGAAGGATACTCGCATTAGGTACAATTTTCGGATGATAAGTACAGTAATTTCCTGCTCAACGTACAATAGAAAACAAAGTGTTGAATGAAGTCATCTCAGCATAAATAAATAAATATGCATCGGAGAATATAAAAGTTTTAGGCGCTCGTGGGAAGCAAAGAGACGAAAGTCTAAGTCACTCCAGAAACAGGGAGTTAAAGTCTGAGTGCCGTACGGCGCCGACCTTTCGGACGGATCTTCGGTATCTATAGTACATTTAAGAGAGTACTTCATGACAAAGCGAACAATTTCTAAGTCTCTATGTCAAACAGTGGTTTAAGCCACTCGAGGAACTGCGAATGTAGAAGTCTTATTTTAATTTCACGCTAATTTTGTATTAACTTATTACTTCTACATACAAAGTGCGTTACACTGAATCAAAGTTAATCGAGAATTCTTACTATATTTAACATATGAATTACTATATAAAATATAAAGACTAAGATAATTTTTGTCTTCCTACAAAATTTTATTCTGTTACATTCATGGTATTAAAACGAAAATATCGAGATGTAAATAACAAAACTTCTTCAACCAATTATGATGATTAACGTCGAATTCTACCATCCTCGATAATTAAGTGACTATAGAATATTTGAATTCGTCAGAAAGCCATGAACATAGCCAGGCAGAGTGCTCGAGTAAACGATCGTATTTGCTCAAAAGCTGGAAGCTGAATATCCAGAGATCTAGAAAATTTAGAGCACAGGTTCAAGGGAGCATCACGAACTCGATTGAATTTGAACGGGGTGAAAAAAATATTTTTGTAGCTTTGTGGCCGGGTGACACTATTTGTATGCGACGATAGATGACAACGAGAACAATCGATGAAAATTCATCGCACATTTTTTTCTCTTTTTACATTGCATCATCGTGTTCGCAAGGTTATTGCGTAACATTGACTTCATTCTACGTGAGAAATAAAACAATGGTTATATTCGAGCCTTTTTAATTGTACCAGGAAGCTTTGCTGATAGTCGTAAAAAGATACGGAGGAAATTGTTAATTACGTTCTTTGATGTTAACACATTGTCGTGGTTACCATTATTCTTCCAAATTTTCAAACCTGACGAATTTATAAATTTACAAATTTTCTCAAATTTCTATATTACCACAATTTCTATTCAATTATTAACAATTAACTAACTATGTCTTAATATACTGTTATAACACTGCAGAAAATTTCCAATGTTTCCAGTTGAAATTTTGCAAACGTTTCTGCAGTTAAACAACATGGTAATTAACAGTTGCACGACGAAACACAGATCACGGTATTTATGGTACCGTACAACCATAACAACGAGCGTTACATGCGTTTCGCAGAATTCCAGTCGTAAAGAAGCTTTCACAGGAGTTAACGCTAAAACTAATAACCAATGTATCGACTAAAATCTAATTTAACCGAAGGTTAACAGCGATGTTTTTCGAAGCGTTTCACCGAAACGTCGGCAACTTTATCGCTAAAACCTTCGTGAAAAATCAATATCCACTTTCTTTATAGTCGTTTGCGTAACAAAAGACATTTTTCAACGGACGAGCTTCGCATTGTGCCGCTGATGATCTTCACATTACACTGTAAGCTTTGTAATTCGAATATGGTGAACAAACAAGAAAATCTTCTGAGAAAACAATCAGTCCTCATAATTCCCGCACGATATCGAAGTAATTTATTCGTTCATAACTATCGTGCAGAGTTCTGTTAAAATTTTCCATTTCGTGCAGAAAATATTGAATAAGTAATTATTTATTTACTAGATTTCTTGAAAAAAATAATTAACTGAAAGGACTTTCTTAGGTCAAATTGATTATTAAGTTAGCATTTCAATAACAGTGTGAATCATTTTGGGAATTACTGAGCCAATTGATTCCAGCGAAAAAAACGTTGTTACAAAACAGGTGACAAATTGCTTGGAGCTGCCCATTAATCATTAACAATACACCAATTACTTTCGTTAAGAGAAAAAATACACAGTGATTTTTTTTAGAGAAGAAATTAATTGAATAATGGTTTTTATTTCTGAAATGAAGAGCATTCTTTTGTTCTATGAATTAACCTACGACTAAAAATTATTGTGGATAAACATCCCCTTTCCGGTTGGGATTTTGAGAGATGACATTCGTGAACTTTTCAAATCCTATATGTTCGTGTCCATAAATTTTCAAGTTTGTTCACCAATATCCAATAAATTGTCCAATAAAAGCATAGCTATACTGGCTACTACATTGTCAGTACCGACGCGCAATCTCAAAACAATTAGTTATTAATTCTGTTCTCTGCAAACTTCATCCTGACATCCTTTATCCAAGACTACATTCTTCGATCCGGTGTGAGGTGCTAACAAAGTCGTTAAGCATAAGGGTGTGAAAGTGCATACAACATCCGTTCAATAACTTCCAACTAACAAACAAGAGAAAAATGAGGTTGAAATAGGAAACTGAAGAGAAAACGTTAGTCGGAAAAAATCAATGCTCTCGAACTTACGTGAATCACGTGCTGCTCGGCAGTTATATAGAAAGGAGCGACTCTAATCGGCCGTGCCCTTCTCCCTGATCGAAATTGGTAGAGTAGCTGGTGTTGCCAGAGGTACCAGTGCCGTGGCCGTTTCTACCGTACCCGATTCCGATCGATCGTGATTCGCGAGGGGACGTACTACGAACTGCGACAATGGCATCGCGATGAACGACGACGGTGCAATCGGTGCATCGCCGGTATGCGTTCGCAGTGACGCTGCTCCTCGCCATCCTCGCCGCCGACACCGATTACCCACGAATTTCGAGTGACTGCAATTTCACCAAACACAGTTTCAGTTTTACAGCAACACGGCTCGATACAGTACCCTACCCTCAAACTAACGTACGAACCTTCAGTTACTATCAGAAAGTTAAATTTCAGTATACTTGTCAGTTATTAAACGTGTCGAGTAATTTATGTATCAATTACAATCCTATTATAGCAACTTCATTCATCAATGGATGTTGCTATAATGAAGGTGCTTGTAATTTTTTACATATATTACGTGCATTACAAATATTACATACATCTTTACATAAACTGCATACACCACATACATCTTTAAATACTTTACATACATTACATACTTTACACACATAACATACATATTTACATATGTTACATACATCACACATATCTTTACATACATTACATACATCTTCATATACATTACATGCATTACATCTTTACATACATAGTCTTCACTTCATTACACACATCTTGTATTCTTACACAAACTGCAGTTTACATGCACCGACACGTTTAATAGCTGAATAAGTATAATAAAACCAAACACCTCTACTGTATAAAATAATGCAATAGTAAATTCTTAAATGTATGATGGGTGAATCGAAAATTAGCCTCAGAGTATTAAGAGTAGAAAGTGTTTTCAGAGTATAGTATATGGACTAGATAAATGGGCACTGTCGAATCTAGTGAACATATGTTGAAGAAACACATCTGCTTTAGAACAATAAGTAGCTGTTCTATAAAGTTATTCATAGGTATTGTTGATATTCCGCCTATATTTCTGTAGTCATTGCCAACCTTCTGAAACTTCTTAAACACTTCTAATTGTTTCTGAGTTTAAAGGAAATAATTGGACTTTTCTGTACATTGAGTCTTAATGCAAGCGACCTTCGACAAAATTGACAGTGAAAATGTTATCAGTAATGCTATCATAAATGTTATCATAGAGATAGTGTTTTTGTGAAAATCTATACATAGAAGCGATTACAATACGTTAATTATAATTCAGTTGAAGTAACTAAAGCCACACGTTTTAATTAATTAGTTCTTAATTGGGTTTCTCTTTGTTTATTATCTTCCCAACAGAATAGAAACGAAAAGTAACTGCTTTCATTACAATTAGTGTGATTAACAATTTGGACATATCATGCTTTGATATATACCAATGCTCTAGCTTCTAAGCTAACAAATAGACAGTGTTCTACATGTGCTTTGTTACAATAGATCAACACAGCACCATACATCTATCGCGAATATCAATTATTTGTCCTTGTAATGAATGATTGCATAGCTTAAAGGGTATTGATTTACCAATATCATTTAACTATTCTAATCAGAAGATGACACACGTACAGAGTTTCACGATACAAGCAGTCAAGTGTGTACAGAAATGGAAGGAGCATGTAGAGAACATCTGTTGTAAATATGTATGTAATTAATAATGCGATAAAATACACCTCTTTCATGTCGATGAAAACCAACTACGCAATTAATACCCTGACATATGTTCACTAGAATCTCATAATAGAAACAAGAGTTTCTGTGTCAGACATTTATGGAGAATCAAGAGGATCGTGAGTCTGAACGTCTTCTGCGGATCTGGCCGAAACTAAAAAGGAACAAACAAACGAAAACAGAGACAAATCCAAAAGCAGATAAACGGTAAAAGAATGATTAGAAATCGATGAGAGAAGAAGTTTACTCACACTTGTTCGCAGAAAGATCAATCCTGTCCCTGGTCAACGAAAACGATTCGATGACGAAACGAGACGTGGACCAGGGGAACGACGTTGTTCGACTTGGGTTTGTTCTCTCAGTCCTTCTGCCTTGTTCCATCCATATGGATTATGGTCGAAAGGAAGTCACGCGTTGATACGTGTCCCCTCATCTGTGAACCAACGGCAAGAAAAACTTGTTAAGTTAAACTATGAACTTAGTTAATATGTTAAGGATTATTGGTCAGAAAATGAACACGAATATGGTGATTTGCTGGAAGTAATTTTGTGGTATAAGTGTTCTAAATTCTCAATTTTTAAGATTCCAATTTTCGAAATTTCGGAGTCTCCCAATTTCAAATTTCTCGATTCTATATTCCCCGATTCCATATTCCCCAATTCCATATTCTCCGATTCCATATTCTCCAATTCCATGTTTCCCGAATCCATGTTTCCCGAATCCACGTTCACCGATTCCACATTCACCGATTCCATATTCCCCGATTCCATATTCCCCGATTCCATATTCCCCGATTCCAAATTCCCCGATTCCATGTTCCCCGATTGCACATTCACCGATTCCAAATTTCCCGATTCCATATTCCCGGATTCCTACATTCCCCAATTCCCACATTACCCAATTCTCAAAATCCGAAATTCCTAATCAACCAAATTCCCAAATCACCGCATTCCTAAATCCCCAAATTCCCAAAAGCCATCTAATCAGCGTCCAATGTACGTTCGGCAAAAATATTAATCCGAGCGGAATACACGCTTCCTTCGTCCCTGAAACATGATTCAGTCGGTTGAATTGTCCGGAAACGTGATCTCCTAATTGTCTTGATTCCCTGGATGATATCCGTAGCAAACGGTGTATCGTCGATAAAAATCTCTGGAGTGTATTTTTCCAGTGAGTACTCGCGAAACAAGGGACGAAAATTCGTAAATAGAAAAAAAAAACAAAAACTAAAAAAAAGCAACGATAGAGGAAAAAAAATTAAAACGAACGACGCTTCGCAAACGTATTCGCAATTATCCTGGTGTTTTAATAACAGGAATATTCACGGTGCCGTTTCGTTTCAAAATCCTTTGAGGATTCGCGTTGTTTTCCATGACTGAAATAAAAAACACTGTCCGTCACGGGGAAGAATATTCTATACGCCTGTCGGCCAATTTCACGCGGAGCGAGCTTATAAAATTTCAGTCGGCAAGGATTTGCAAACCGAGATATTACGCGCGCGCGTTCCACTACATTTTTCATAAACGTATCCTCTTTCGCAACGAGCAACGCCCTCTTCTTTCATGTAAATTGTAAATGAAATACGGACAACGAAAGTGGATATAAATAGTTGTAATTCAAACGTAAATAATGCAATCCTTGTATTACACGGCAACGTTTTATGATTCGAGAAAGCACGTAAAAAGAAAGGAAGATAAAATTATGAATTTTTTCAACATTTTTTAAATTACAGTTTTTTTTATATTTTCGCTCTTAAGAGTATTTCACGTTGCAAATTCGCAACATTTTCAAAAGACAAAAAATTGTAATTACAGAGAGTAAGAGATGTTATCGATAATTACATTCGTAATGAAATCTATGTGAAATGAAGTATGTATATTTTATAGGTTTTATTGTAAAGTTAACTGTAATGATGATTAGTATAAATATAAATATAAATGATACGTCTTTACGTCGCGGCGTCTCGTAAAACTGCTCCGAGCACGCGTGCAGGTTTGGACACGTCGCGTCGGCTAAAACAAAAACCTAGCGCTTTCTGGAAAAATTCCATCGTTCCTCGCCTAATACATTATATGATATATTACATCGCATAATATTACTTAAACCGAATTATGTTACATTCCCTACAATTTCGTAGTGTGTTTAATGTATACAGTATAAAGAAAGTTTAATGTTACTGTGGGATCGAGACATGTGGACCCAATAATAGGGTAATGAATGTAGCGAGTTCCATAAGAGTGTTTAGTGTAGTGAATAGCATATGCACTTTGTAAACTTGAGGGCCCAAGTTCGAATCCTCGGAGGACGATTTTTTCAGATATTCATTACATCAATAATATTTAATGTATTTTGAGTGTTAATATTTAGTACCACACAATTTATTTACGAAGTAATATATAAATTAATAAATATTTATTAACAGATCAAAAAGTAATACGGTCAGAATTAATAAATTAATGAAGCTACTAACGCCTGAATAAATAAATATCAACAACAGATCAGAAGTTTATAATAACATCCTAATAAACTCCCAATATTAATTCAGTGACATATATGAGATTACGTTTAAGTCTAAATTCATAGATTATGAATTTGATATATTAATAGACGTTCCATAGATTACTGCGCGGTGCATTCCCACTTTCGTTAGATGCTAAGTTATTTCACAAACTAAATTCGACGTACGAAATAAAAAACATTTTAAGCTCTCAATCGTACACGATTTCCTGCCGCAAACGCGACACGGTATCCTTAACGAAGTGGATCTACTGCGCGTATCCGACCGGATGTAGGCACTTGCCGGCGTATAAATAATAAATACGAAATGCACGGGAGTCTCTGGCTAGACGTACAGGGTCTTCACCCCACAACACCGAGGGTTGTCGAGGTAAGGAACGATCGACCAGACAAACTGACGCCATCACGGCGCGTTCATCGTGTTTTGTATTTGACGGTGTAATTACAGAAATTACGTACCGCGAACCTTTTAATCTTTAAACAAACTTTTTCCCAGAACTTGAATAGAGTGGACATCATTGCTTTTAGATTTCCATTCGAGCAACACGAGAATAATGTCAATTTGAATAAACCCAATCTTATCGATTCGAATAACATTCTTATTTAAATTTTAATCTAAATTTGTACACATAACAGTTGAAAATATTTGTCTGGCTATAAATTGCAGTTGCAAAAAGATAATATCAGAAACCTAAATCAGATTCGAGTGAGATACATGTTGCAAATTATGATTCTGAACAATGAGCTTGAGAGAATGTCTAATCGAAGGATATTTAAGACTACCTGCGAATATGAGAAGTTAGAATTACAGTGACGGAAATACAAGTACCGGAAGTACTTATCTGCAATGTTCTACATTCCACGCTCTATATATTAATGAAGCTATATCTACTAATTAGTCCTTCGTTTAAAAAGAACTGATTATATTATCTTCAGGAGACGCGAGGTCCCGAGTACCAGATCATTAATCTCATTTAAAGAAATCACAAATTCAAGGATAATTTATGCACCATAGTTAATTATAACTATTAACTATATAATAAATCATTACATATTCAGTAGATGATCTAATACGAATTAAATTCAAATTTTTAATTCCCCAATGAGCGCGGCAAAAATAATCTGGATTATATGGGATCAACAATGGTAGGAAAGTAGAAATCGAACGAGAAAATGAGGTGATAAATTCGTTGCTTTCGAAGTGATAATTTAGAAAGGAGCTCGTCGATTAAGCCTGTTAAGTGGAAACTTAATGTAAATTACCTCGATCATGTTTTAAGATAATTAAAGATTACGATGTTAGAGCTGTAGATAAGTTATCAAAGGCTTTTCCGTTTTTGTAATTCACTTAAATATTTAGTGTTATAGAAGTTTGTTACTTAATTCGATATGCGCTGTATTTCTACGCGTTATATTGCCACGCGTTATATCGCCATGTGTCGTAATTCTACGCGTTGCATCACCATGCGTTATATCGCCATCTGCTTTAATTCAACGCGTTATATTGCCACGTGTCGTAACTCTACTCGTTGCATCACCACGCGTTATATCGCCATGTGGCGTAATTCTACGCGTTATATCGCCATGTGTCGTAATTCTACGCGTTGCATCACCACGCGTTATATCGCCATGTGTCGTAATTCTACGCGTTGCATCACCTCGCGTTATATCGCCATGTGTCGTAATTCTACGCGTTGCATCACCTCGCGTTATATCGCCATGTGTCGTAATTCTACGCGTTGCATCACCACGCGTTATATCGCCACGTGTCGTAATTCTACGCGTTGCATCACCACGCGTTATATCGCCACGTGTCGTAATTCTACGCGTTGCATCACCACGCGTTATATCGCCACGTGTCGTAATTCTACGCGTTGCATCACCACGCGTTATATCGCCACGTGTCGTAATTCTACGCGTTGCATCACCACGCGTTATATCGCCACGTGTCGTAATTCTACGCGTTGCATCACCACGCGTTATATCGCCACGTGTCGTAATTCTACGCGTTGCATCACCACGCGTTATATCGCCACGTGTCGTAATTCTACGCGTTGCATCACCACGCGTTATATCGCCACGTGTCGTAATTCTACGCGTTGCATCACCACGCGTTATATCGCCACGTGTCGTAATTCTACGCATCGTATCACCTCGCGTTATATCGCCACGTGTCACGATTCTACGCGTCATATCGCCACGCGTTATATTGCCACGCATTATATCGTTATAATACCATCCATTGCAGTCTCATCATAAGCAATGTAACGAGAATCTATTATGTAACTAATACTGTACTATGTAGTCTAATATGCAAGCTAATTAAATTAAGTAGTGTTATCGCTGATAACCGACAGAATTACCATTTGCAACTTTAATTAAGAATATTGTTTTAAACCGGAAATTGTCAAAGTCAAAGGTTAAGCCGATAAAACCTCATCTTTAGACGATTAATCTTTACAATCAGATTAATGAAAATAAAACGTTAACTTCGGATCTCTTTCAATCCTGATCCACTTATGCAATACCGGATTGAATTGAGGTTAAGAATTAGTAACAGATAAGTGATTTCAAAGGACAAACATGACGTAAGAAAAAGTTTCAACCGAAGGTCATTTTTTCTAAAGTTGATCAAGGTTCTTCGTGGTCTTTTTCCTCAATAAGAAAGTGCGAAAATAAAATGTAACAATTACTACCGTATCGAGGAAGCAATCGTCCTATACGGACTTTTATATTCTCGTATGATACAATAAAATGAACGGAAGGGGTCGATGGACTCCTTTCTTTTAAATACATTAGTTGCGGTTTAAATGGAACAAAACATGAAAAAGTAAAAGACTAACAATAAGAGGACTAGGGAAGACGAATAAAGCCGGCACATAAGTACATAATCTGGAAGCATTACGAAGACCCTAAGAGATTACTTGTTGCAGTGCACTCATCATACATACATCCAAAGTTTAATCGCATCACAAGAAAATCATGTATGTTTGTTGTTGCTACCGCAAAAGAGGGTCATATTGCTAACTATATGAGAGCAATCATGTATTTCAAGAATAATCCAATGCACTATTATTAAAAAAAAAGAAAGTAGATCACTGAACTTAACTACTTTTCTAATTTATTATAATTTTAACGTTTAAGTAGCTTTCAAAAAATTATTCATCTACCATTATTCTATTTTCCCGCCGGATTTCTAACCTATCACCGTTAACACGATCATAAATTTCAGAATTATTTACACGGAATAACAAAACGTATCGTTATCAGTTAACCGCAAATAAAAAAGTAAGGAAGAAGACTGTTCTGTTTGAACAATTGAAAATTTAACCAAATGACGTAAAATCATTTGCAATATAACTCCTACACGAGTTTGCTAATTTCATTTGTACTACACGTGATCAATTTATTCGTTTGTCTGCGTCACCGCCTCTGGCAACGTTTCTATTTTACAAATATTAATAAAAGACGTTAACACTTTAATGACCGCGCAATTTATGGAATTACTGGCTTTTATAATTTTGTATCATCATCATCATAAAATTACCCATTTTTAACTGCAATTCTCAGGAAGTGTAATGTTCCTTAAAAGGATAACAAAATGTCTGATGTCACTAACTTACCGCCAAGCAAACAGCAAGTAACTAACTTACAGAGGAGTCTCAATACGACAAAAGTAAAACACTTCCTTCCGGAAATCCCAATTCCACCACTTCCTCGTATGACACCGATTAACCCTCGAACGATGTAGTCGGGTCAACAGTGACCCAGACCTACAAAACGCATACAATGGACCATATTACTGCTGGAAGTTGGAACTTATTGTATCGATATTATCGATACGAGTAAATTTCGATCTGATATCAAGTAGCATTGAAAACGCAGCCATTGAAAAATATCGATATCAGCTTGATACCACTACGAACATGTCAATAACTTTCTAATGCCTCTACGAAAATACTGATTTACTTGATTATTAAACAGAATGAATTTTAATACATTGTTTTAACATCCATCGAAAAAGAATCGGTATCGATACTCCCTGTTGAGTATTTTAGTATCGAATCGTTATCGATACCTATCGGTATGGACCCATCTCCATCAACGACTACGGGTCATCCATTATAAGATATATAATATTTAAAGAAACCGCGTAAAGTTCAAGAAATGAAAATTATCAATGAGTATGAAATATAAAATTAATGTCAAATGTTTGTCAGGTAGTCTGATTAATTCAAGCCACTTGATAAATCCCTGTCTGTCTTTCGTCGATTCTTACGAAACAAAAGATTAATTTATCACCGTGCCAACCTTTCACTGCCACTTTGTTTGCCATCACGTTGTCGATGTTCAACGAGCACTTTGCAGTCCGTGATATCGATCAGAAACGCAGTATAAACCACTGTCCCATATATACAATCACGATCGTACGATTTTCGTGTCTTGTTCGTGCCTCGTTTTCTTTACTTTCGTCTTCGTCCTTTTCATTAGTCGCACGAGAGAGTGCAATTTATGGAATTACTGGCTTTTATAATTTTGTATCATCATCATCATAAAATTACCCATTTTTAACTGCAATTCTCAGGAAGTGTAATGTTCCTTAAAAGGATAACAAAATGTCTGATGTCACTAACTTACCGCCAAGCAAACAGCAAGTAACTAACTTACAGAGGAGTCTCAATACGACAAAAGTAAAACACTTCCTTCCGGAAATCCCAATTCCACCACTTCCTCGTATGACACCGATTAACCCTCGAACGATGTAGTCGGGTCAACAGTGACCCAGACCTACAAAACGCATACAATGGACCATATTACTGCTGGAAGTTGGAACTTATTGTATCGATATTATCGATACGAGTAAATTTCGATCTGATATCAAGTAGCATTGAAAACGCAGCCATTGAAAAATATCGATATCAGCTTGATACCACTACGAACATGTCAATAACTTTCTAATGCCTCTACGAAAATACTGATTTACTTGATTATTAAACAGAATGAATTTTAATACATTGTTTTAACATCCATCGAAAAAGAATCGGTATCGATACTCCCTGTTGAGTATTTTAGTATCGAATCGTTATCGATACCTATCGGTATGGACCCATCTCCATCAACGACTACGGGTCATCCATTATAAGATATATAATATTTAAAGAAACCGCGTAAAGTTCAAGAAATGAAAATTATCAATGAGTATGAAATATAAAATTAATGTCAAATGTTTGTCAGGTAGTCTGATTAATTCAAGCCACTTGATAAATCCCTGTCTGTCTTTCGTCGATTCTTACGAAACAAAAGATTAATTTATCACCGTGCCAACCTTTCACTGCCACTTTGTTTGCCATCACGTTGTCGATGTTCAACGAGCACTTTGCAGTCCGTGATATCGATCAGAAACGCAGTATAAACCACTGTCCCATATATACAATCACGATCGTACGATTTTCGTGTCTTGTTCGTGCCTCGTTTTCTTTACTTTCGTCTTCGTCCTTTTCATTAGTCGCACGAGAGAGTGTAACCCACGACGAGCCGAGTCTATCGACCGGAGGAGAACCGGAGGGCGGAAGAGGGTCAGAGACGAGAAACACAAGTAACAAAAATTTCACTCGACTACAATTATTTACACGACAACACTCGCGTCACGGTACAATCACACTGGGTTTCTTGTATCTCGAGATTAGTCATCCTAGTTCAACGGCCACCGGATTTTAATTCATTTAGGGTGCATTTAAAGCGATTATTACTTTTGCACTGGCACGCAGAGGTCGCTAAACGTCATACTCATACATCCTCGTGGTAATAATCCGTTCGACCATCCTTGTTCTTAATATCTTTATGGTTAAAGCCTTCTTTCTGCCCTAACGTGTCACATTTAATCACACGAGAAACGAGAATTGATGTTTGCTCTTACAATGTAGTATTTCTTTAGAGTAATTCGTGTACGCTTTCATGTTCGGTTCAAGGAGGTACAATGGCTGAAATTGATCTACCCTGATGTCTCGTTTGTCGTACGAATCACTTCGTTCTCTTTCGTAATATCTAGTGATTTGATAATCAATTTTATTGCGAAAGATATAATTATGATTAATAAGTAATGATATCGAGGGATGTTCGCAATTTTCATCGATAATCAAATTATGATATACGTTAGAGCAGTATAACGCCGAAATTATTACAAGATTTTACAGGTTCAGGTTCCTTTGACCGCGATAGCGTCAAGATCTACACGCGCGAAATATATAACAACCGAAAAAATGGTGTTAAAAATAGAACCTAAAGGTTTCAATGAAAGAAACGAATCGAAATAACGAAGTGTGTGAAGCAAAATTGCAGGAAATCGTACTTCAAAGGTGTAAAATAATAAAAGGAAAATAGGGGAAGAGACATTTTGCCCCTGTTACTTTTCTCTCTCTCGCTCTGCATACCACTCTTTCTCTCTCTCGCTGCTCCCGCTTTACCTTTGCGAAAATCGATCCGCTACCGGCCTAGAGAGGCCAGTGTATGTCGAATAACTCGGAAAAATGTATTTTCGTACGATGAAACTTTACCTTATTGCACGTCGCATCAGCCAGCTATTATCCTATGCGAGGATCTCCACAGCACGAGTAACGGCAGCTCATCGACCGGCGTAATCAGTTCCTCTTCCTGTTAATATATACTACTACGAACTCAACTACAACACTCAAAGGACGGTCCTTGCAAACAACAAAAAAATGAACTAACGATATCACGATTTAAACGGCCGTAAAGACGACGAAATAAAATAAAACTTCAATTCAATAAGTTTTAGATGCACACCCGTCGGCCGACAACGCCAGACTGCGCGTGAGCGCCACCTTTCTTGCCCGTTCTACTTCATCCCCACCAACATCCCCTTGTATCGGCTTACAACAGTTATCTTTGTCCTTTTTTCTATCAACGTATACTTTATCTCGCTCTTTTCTTTCTACCCTTTCGTTTCATTGCTTTTCATCCGTTTCACATTTCATCTTCTAATTCCAACTTTATTTTCTTTTTACTACTAATTGTAAAACTGACTATAGTCACAACCATAGAATACTACGAGCAACTATAATCATCCTTTATTTCATCCGAAATGTTTACAATAGAAATTGAAAATATCGAACATCTACAATGGAAAATACTTAAAAGTAAGTATTCGTAAACAAAAATTACTTTTATGTTTCTACTAAATTGAATGATTGAAGTAAATCTACACAAGTCTTTTTCCGTACAGATTGCAACTATGGGGTTAATTCTTTACACATTTATATTTATCTCATAAATTCCTCGTCCACTTTATTATCTTATAATGTACAGAACTTTATTACTATGCCCTATATTTTAGCGAATTTCTGCGTCTACCCGTTCATCTGAGCAATATTTTGCTTTTGTCATGTGAACGTACCCTTTTTTCGTAGAACTAGAAATATAGGGACAGAACATGTTCTTAAGGGTGAGGTGGGCAGATAAACCGATTTCCAATTTTGATTGGCCATCGTTGGTAATAATTTCAAGAATGTAAAAGTTGAGAAACAAAAGTTCTCTAAATCCCTAAAACTTATTTTGAAAATGGTGCATGTGCGTAAACAAATTATTATTTGTTTGAAGCTCTATATTAATCTGTGGTTCTCGTAATTGGCGGTACGGAACATGCGCACGAAAGCAACTAATCAAATTTGGGAATCGACTATGACTTCCTTCATAACCTGGCTTTCCTTTCTTCTAATACTTTTACTTCCTCTTTTTAATTCTTCCTCATTTCTCTTTTGTCGTTAGTTTCGAAACCATCTGTTATAGTTAGCGTGATCTAAAAAGAATTATCTATGTACTCCACCCTTTTAGGTTGGAAATACGGTACGTCACCTGTCAATGTCAAGCACCGGATGGCAACACGCATTTTATCCTTCTGTTACCGTCGCTCAAACACGTGATCATGCAAAAGTAAATTATGCACTCGTGGACATAAATAACGTTCTATCTATATACGATTTTATAATAGAAACTTATATATGCAAACAGACATAATAAAAGAAGGGAATGCATGCAATCGATTGTAATATCGATGATGTTTACTATTTAATTTAATATATAGGGGAGAGTATGCGTAATATACGTTCCCACGACTGTCGTGCCATATGTTTCAACTGCACGCAACAGTTACTCACTATTTCGTGTATTTAATTTAAGAACTATAGATTCGTGAGTTCATCATAAAAAATTTATATGTATAATGTCATTTGATAAAAATAGACATTACAGGTATAGCGAAAAATGACACCTATGAGAAGATATTATGTAAATATGAGTAATAAATGTTGTAGAATATTGGTCATCGATCGTAAGTGTAACTAATGTATTTTTTTTTCCGAAATGTGCATTATTCAAACTTCTGATTTACGCGCAAAGTGTAATATCAGATCCAGGGTACAATGTCCACTGTTTTATTGGTATACTCTCCTTGTAGTTTCATTCAATCAAGAACTGACTACTTGTCTCCTTATAGTATCTATCAATGTGATAAATGTGCAGATGTCATTACGAGTACAATATTTCTGAATTTATAGATTTAAAAATAAATTTCCAAGAAGAGAAGTACAGTATCGAGGAGTGAGAGTAATTGGAAATCTCAAATCAAAGAAATTGCGAAGTAAATGGTAATAATATAACTGTTTCCTTGAACAAATGCACGAAACAAAATTGAAAGAAAGGTTCGCCTGAAGTATTACAAAGGTGCAGTCTTTTCTAAATAAATTTACTGTGTTAGAGAAAGGGCACTCCCAAAAAGATTTCATTGTTAAAATTTCAAATCAATACACGAGTCATTGGGGTAAGAGATGTGTAGTACCATGGACAAGACATGAAATAGACTTATCATACAATGTAAATTTTTGTCTCGCTATTCAGGGCTTACGTAGCTCTCACCATTTTTATGACACAAACGCTATCTTCTGGGGAATAGACGAATTAATAGAATAAAAAAAGTTCTCTTTACCGACGGGAATATCAGTAACAAAATTTGCTTCCATTAGAATTCTTTGTAAAAATCACTAGATGTCTCTTGCGCTTCAATATTGTGGCGGTCTTTTTAAAAGAAAACTATAAATCTCATAAAATATGAAATCTCATTCAGATTTCAATAATATTGCACACACTTTATATTGTTTTGTACAGGTAAAATTAAAAACTCTGGTCAATTATTAATTAGAAATTCACATTGTCTAATTCACGCATAAGCCTTAGTATAACCTCCAAAATACAAATATCACCGTGCCATTTGGCTGATGAAGAATTTGGATCAACCGGGTGAGGCGTTGCAAGGTGCAGTCGATATCTAGAAAATTATAAATTACTTTATGTTCATATAAATACGTATTATCATGACATAATCAGAGAAATTTTATATTGTCAACAAATTCTATTTTTGTTTCCTCACCTTGGACTACGTACATCAATCGCTTCCGGTTCCACTGAGAGCTCGATCTTCTCGCGCGTCTCATTTGGCATCTTTATGGATATAGATAGCCATTCGCAGGAAGAGGTGCTTGGCGTTTTAAAACCCATCTGGTTTAAAAAATGAAACGTATCACGATGAACAAGTACATATTTGTACTTTATTCATATACTTAACTATCCACGCGTTTTATAAATTCACGTTATGACGTCTACTCGTAATTGAAAATGTGATACTAACACCTAAGAAGACGTCTTCTGCCGTCACAGATTGTTTAAATTTCATCTCATATTCCGGCACCTTTCTTGGATCGTAGGTTTCCGAATTTTGCACAGTGGTTACCTCAGACGGGTGCCAAATGTCATCATCATCTGCCTTCAATGGTGCATGTGGACCGCCGTGTTGCTGAGACGTACCATGCTTAATACCAATGTCACCAGGCCCTTTAAAAAGTCTATATTGCATTGATAGTAATGGCATAATACTCGTACTCTTACTCTTACTTAGCAGTTGATACAAAAGCGAAATTTGCCTCCAACCTACCGAGTTTCCCAGTGCTAGCTTGCAACAGATCTTCGGAATCTGAATCATCTTTTGGAACGCTAATTAAATCCTGCAACGCCTTTAATTCTTGATAGCCGAAGCAACCATCCATTTTCTAACGAGTCTTAGAAAATTTTTATCGAAACCGATTAATTCTGAAGGAGCGAGTCAGTGGATACAGTTGCCAAGACAACATATTTTACATATATAATTATCAAATCATCAACAATGATGAATAAGTTAAACTATATTATCTATGCACATTTATATATATTTAAATAAAATTATTGAAAGTATCAAAAGCCGGAATAGAATTAATTCGAAATTGGAATGGCCCGCGAGAAAAAATGTGTTGGTTTATTTGGCGCATTGATACATGTCCCAGGTTTACCAATATAACAATAAGAGGGAGAGTCCTTTTTTGAGGAGGTTTACCAATATGGCAGACACTGCGGATGAAAAACTATCTAAAAAGTGAGTAAAATAATGATACTGGCGGAAAATTAAATGTATGATTTCTGCATTCTATATTTATGTAATATTTTATTCTATTTACGTTTGTAATTTCAACGTAAAATTTACATATAACAGTGGTTGATGTCATGGATTGACTGTCCACGTTGTTACAAATATCTGCCTGTATCGGGACACTTTTTATAAGTGTATGTGTAGTAATTGATCAAGATTTGTAAATAAATGTATCTATTGTATATATATGTCTATACATTATTGATGCAATAACAACAATACCTTTAATTAATTATGCTAAGTAACATAACCAAAGCTTTTGTTGACGTAGTACTACCGGTACTTCATAATGCAAAATCAACAAAATTACATCAGATAACTAAACGCCATTTTTGTCCACAGTGCGTACGATACAAAAGATTGTATTTATTTATATTAAAATAAATTAAAAGTGTACTTTGCATATCTCAATTGTGTTTACAGTGAATTAAAGAGACGCTTGAAGGCTGAACAAAAATTAAAAGCGAAGGCAGAAAAAGAAGCAAAAGCATGTGCTACAGCAGCAACAAACACCCAGGCCAAAGCCACTGGGAAAAAGGATGATGAAGAGAATATTAGTCCAAATGTGAATATATATATCATAACATTAAAATGCATCTTTCCTTTAAAGAAGAATCTCTGCAATTTTATAGATATTTATTATATAGTCATTGTCTTTAAATATTTCAATCATATTTTTATTTTTAGGAATACATTAAACTTCGGACACAAGCAGTTAATCACCTAAAGAGTATAAATGAAAATCCATATCCGCATAAGTTTCATGTATCAATATCATTGGAAGATTTTATTGATAAGTTTAGCAACATCTTAGGAAATGGAGAAGTTTTAGAGAATGAAGTACATAGTGTTGCTGGTCGTGTATTTTCAATTAGAGAGTCTGGTGGTAAACTTATTTTTTATGACCTTAGAGGTGAAGGCCTTAAAATTCAAGTCATGGCAAATGCAAGACATTATGAGAATGAGGAAAAATTTGCCACTGATATTTCTAAAATAAGAAGAGGTGATATTATTGGTGTTGTTGGAAATCCTGGGAAAACTAAGAAGGGTGAATTTTCTATTATGCCTCGTAGTATTACCCTTTTAAGTCCTTGTCTGCATATGTTGCCAACCCTTTATTTTGGATTGCAAGACAAGGTACAAAAAAAGTAACAAAATATTTAGTTCAAGACATGTATTGGTACTAATACTAATAATATTGTTTTTATCTATATAGGAAACAAGATTTCGTCAACGCTATTTAGATCTTATTTTAAACAATAAAGTGAGAAAAACATTTCATGTACGAGCAAAAATAATCGCATACGTCCGTAAATTCCTTGATGAACTTGGTTTTTTAGAAGTTGAAACACCAATGATGAATATGATTGCTGGTGGTGCTACAGCAAAACCTTTTATTACACACCATAATGAACTGAATATGGATTTATTTATGCGTATTGCTCCAGAATTGTATTTAAAAGTAATAAGTACTTTCATATAATTATAGACAATATACATTGTGATTATATGTTAGTACATTACTGTCTCTATGATTATAGATGTTGGTGGTAGGTGGAATGGATAGAGTATATGAAATTGGAAGACAATTTAGAAATGAAGGAATAGATCTAACACATAATCCAGAGTTCACTACTTGCGAATTTTATATGGCATATGCAGATTACAATGACTTAATGTCTATTACAGAAGATATGATATCAGGAATGGTGAAAACTATACATGGTGATTATAGAATAACGTATCATCCGGATGGACCAGATGGCGAAGAGGTCGTAATTGACTTCACTCCGCCGTTTAAGCGAGTTTCAATGATGAAGACCTTGGAAGAGGTGTTAAAAGTTAAATTACCTCCAGCAGATCAATTAAATACACCTGAAGCAAATGAAATGCTTAGTAATATATGTATAAAGCATGAAATTGAATGTCCTCCGCCAAGAACAACGGCTAGATTGCTAGACAAGGTAGAAAATTATTTCTTAGTTTCTGTATAGGCGATTACGTATGTATATCCAGTATCAATATTTTTAACAGCTTGTTGGCGAGTTTATAGAAGAAACTTGTATTCATCCCACGTTTATCTTGGATCATCCACAAATTATGTCACCATTAGCGAAATGGCATCGTTCAGAAAAGGGTTTGACAGAACGATTCGAGTTATTTATTATGAAGAAAGAAGTTTGTAACGCGTATACAGAATTGAATGATCCTATAGTACAAAGGGATAGGTAATTCATCTGGGTGAAATCTTTATCAGAGGTAATTAAAGCTAAAATGATTGTAACAATCTACTTTTCAGGTTCGAACAACAAGCAAAGGATAAAGCAGCAGGAGATGATGAAGCACAGTTGATCGACGAGAACTTTTGTACTGCGCTAGAATATGGCTTACCGCCAACCGCTGGTTGGGGAATGGGTATCGATCGTCTTACTATGTTCCTCACAGATGCAAACAATATAAAGGTAATTGTTTTATATTCAAAGAATCATTTAAAAATGTATTACGCTACATAAATTTTCATATACTTATAGGAAGTACTGTTATTCCCACAAATGAAACCAGATGATCCAAATAAAAACAAAGTAGTGGATGATAATAAAACACCAAATGATACTAACACACCTAGTGTCGAAAAGTGAGGACTGACACTGCATTCTTTTTTCATAGTATACAGATTATTCTTTGTATACACGTTTTAAGGAGTAAATAAATTTTACTTTCAAAACAACAAGAATTAATATTTTATTGCTTTTATTTCATATTTTACACATAATATTTACCATTAAAATAGTATAAAAACTCCAAGAACACATGAGGAAAGTATTACCACATATTTACATGTACACACAATACTTTTATTACAGTGAAATCTCGATTTATCACTTTTGATAGTCGCTTAGAATGAGATCTATTAATTTTTTAAATAGATGCAGGAAGACCATAAGTACACATAACTCAAAAGTCGAAACTACATGCGAAGGAACGATTATTCAAGGAATGACTAATCGAGGTTTTACCGTATTTAAAAAAAGAAACATAAGTTTTACTTAAATATATATTTACATCGAAGCGTTAGAGCGAGCAAGTACTGAACAATATGTACTTGCAATTTGCTGGCAGCTTTTTTATATTGTCGAACATTTAGGTAATAAATAAATTAAATTTTGTAATAAACAGTACAGTACTCTTTTGAAAAGGATCTTAAAAATTTAATAAGGTGTCGTTGTTGGAGTTATTTTATTAGGATTACTAAAATTTTTATGATAAAAATAAATATAAATTAATTTGCCTTAATTTTATAAAAGCAAATATCTTGTTCTTATTCCTTATATCCTGTTTTAAAAACTTTCCAAAAGAATACTGTAATTAGAAACATAAAGGAAGATATTCTTGTTATCTTCGTAATAACGTCATAGATCTAATTTACTACTGACGAAAATTACAGATTGGTTATATATATATATGTATATATTAAAGTTACTAGATAAACATTGGACTATTAAATTTAACTGATATGTTTCCTGAGCACTTAATTTGTGGCAGCTGTTTAAATGGTTCATATATTCTATTGTAGTAAAAAGTAATAAGAAATTGCATGTTTAATTTTCATTGCAGATATTATTAAACACCAACAATTTCTATCAGCTTTCTTCCTCCTTAACATATTTTGTAACTGAATTATAATGAGCACCTAATTCATACATATGACGATGATAAGTTAATATCATTTTTTTATCATTACTATAGCTTTCACCAATAATATAAGGTGCACCTGATGCTTGAATTACTTCTATTGGGCATTTCAGTACATGCGAAAGAACTTGCAGCTGGTTGAAACAAAAGTAATCATGGAGGAATATTGTAATTATATACATGTAACTTTTCAGAAATACTTTTTGATTAAATTTAGCTTACCTCAATAGCACCACCCCAGGCATTTGTGTCAGTAACATCATCACAATATTTTTCATACTGTTCTGGTGAAAGAAAATCATCAGACTCTGGATTGGAAATAAATGGCAAAAATTCATTCATGTTTTCTCTTAGGTATAGACCAGTTTTTGTTCTAAGTTCTTGAAAATTTAATGGAGTTTCTCCTATAACCTTTAGTTGATGTGCAATAGCATTGTACAAGCTATAAAAATCAACATATGGATAGTAATATTTTTAATTGCTATTAAATTAATATGAATAAATTACTTACCAATGACCATCACTCGGAATTTCATAAATCATTAAACCACGTTCATATAGAATTTTCTTTATGGTTTGTATTTCTATGTTCCTTTTTCCAAAAACATTTAATGCTTCTTCTTCTATTATTCTCTGATTGCGTTCTTTTTCTGCATTTGCTTTTTTGTCTCTTCTTTTCTGTGCTTTTGAAATTCTCTGTGTTGACTGTTCACATTGCATATTATTTTTCATGTCATCATTATTATAATTTTCTGTATCTTCATTTTCTACATTATCAATATTAAGATGTGTAACTCTCCATGCAGTTAATTCTTCATCCTGCTTTTTATCTAAAGCTTCTTCTAAACGACTTATTTCTTCTGTTACCTCCTTTTTCTTCTTTTTATCACCCTTACAAATTGACTTTTTCAAAGTTTGTATTTGCCCTTAAATACAAAGAACATTTATTAAGAAATCTAATACTTGTCAATATGTTATTTAAATAATAATAAATATCAAAGTGATAATAAAATTTTGTGTAAGCAACGTTGGAAACGATATTTATTTGATAATATATAAGTGTAAACTGAAAATAAAATATTAAGACCTTAATTTGAATACCTTGTAGTTCCTTGCGTTCTTTTTTATGTTTTTGTGCTAATTCTTCCTGTGTTAATTCCAATTCTGCCATTTTTAATTTAGAGGTTAATTAAAATGTAATTTATTTTGAGGTTAGGAAAATTTAATAGGAATCAGTCACAGAGTAGGGATGAAATCTTTGATCTCTTGAAAATATTATCCCTTTAAATCGGATGTACAAACGAGCGGGAAATTCATATCAAATGAATCTAATTTCATGTCAACCTGTAATAATTTGGAATATATTTGTAATACTATTTTGTATATTACTAATACTGCCTTTCGAGGTATTTGCACCCATTTACGACGTTGAAAAGTTGATATACGAAAATGATTACTCTACAAAACTCACACTCCTCATTCAATCGGCTTCAGTTTCCTCACCTAGTATCGCCTCTTGTTCCATCCTTACTCTTTCAATCAATGATTGTAACAGACATTTACCAATAAATAAGGATAAAATAACTATACTTCATAGAACTCGACGAACTTCAGTATGCTTGTCCTGCACTCTGAAGTCGTAGAAACGTATCAAGTGAAGTTAGTTCCAGTTTGGATTTTATTTACTTCATAGTACGGAAGATGGCGTAGAAGAGCAGTTGCTCTTATTTTGCCTTAGGTTACAAACAGTGCTTTGAATAATAGACCCGTAGACTCTGAGTCTGCTACATAGGCGTTCAGTGTTAGCTAATTGATAAAAGAAAGTGGTGAAAATATTTTAATTATTGACTTAATTATTAAAAATGGCAACAGACGAAAATTCCTGGAGAACACAGAGTTTTCGACAGAGTGTTATTGCAAAAATGTAAGCTAATATGCATTAATAAGTTTTCTATAATAAAATAATTGAATGAACTTGATTCTAACAATATATTTTACCTTTGTAAAAAATGAATCAATCATATAGCATCAAATGCTTATGAATATGTACATGTAGATATATTTTTATTTATTGAAAATTTTCTATGCAGAGATGAAGCTATACAAATGTCTGGAATGCCTACTACTAAAAATAGTATTGAGATGGAAACTCATGTTTTCCAAAAAGCAAAAACTAAGGTTTGTTATCTCCCTTTAATTTCCAACTTAATGTATTGAACAAATAATGAGCAAAACTTATAATGATGGCACAGTAAATTAAATTAATTAACAATATAAATTTATTTCATTGCAGGAAGAATATCTAGGTTTTGTGGCTAGGTTGATTCTACATGTCAGAGAACTAAGTAATATACATATTAACACGTGCAAACATTACTTCAGCAATTGAATGTTGGTATTGTATTATCATTTTTTTCCCCATTCAGATTCTAAGAAGGCAGCAGGAGGATCTGCACCAGGTAATGCTGGTACTGGAAATCAAGGAATGCCAGATCCAATTGGGGCATTGCAAACACTAGCACGTCAAGGAACTGGTAATAACCAAATGATGAATATGAATGGACCAGGATCTAATCCTCAAGGAATAATCCCTCAGCCTCCTGCAAATACTGCTACAAATTGTAAGTACATGTATTAATTAAGGATGATTTTAGAAAAAATCTGACTATCAATCTTTGGACTCCTTTATAGAAAATGATTTTTAAGTGTCATATGTTTAAAAATATTCCCTTAAAATATCATCCCATATTTTAATAATTTGAATAAATACAGTGTCCAGTTCAAAATGAAACACTAGTTACATCTATGAATTGAGTATTAAAATGTATATCATTATCAATAAATGCTGCTTATATTAATAGTATCAGATATTATCAGTTTTAAATTATTAGTTGTTATTATTAATGAAAAACAGAAATTGGTACTAAGTGATTGCTGTTGGAAACTTGCAATTTGCATAAAATAACAAGTATATATTATTCACCTTTAATCTGTTTAATTTCTAGTTAAAACTTTTTTTAATAACATGTTAAAAAATTTATGTTTATGTAACTTTTCTTCGTATTTAACTTTGTATTTTGTTGCGTTCAATATTTCGTTTGGTACTTTAAATTTGCAACACCCTGTATACTTCAAAAGTTGAATGGAAAGGATTTGGGTCCAATTGGTTATGTAACCATAAGGCCCACCTTTTTTTATACATAACAGTAGTTCCGTTCGATTCCGCTAAACTTTTTACGAGCAGAAAGTACAATAGAAGACTATAGACACGTAGAAATCGGTAAGCGGCAACATTCGTGTTGCCGTCGTCTTTCGCATAGCGAAACAGAATGAGAAAATGATAGCGTGAATTTAGCTATTTATTGCTCCCCGGTCAACTGCGACCTATACTAAGATCTTCAAAGTCAAAATATCAACAAGAAGTGAAAGTGATTTGTTCGTCATAAAAGAGTATTAATTTAATTTAAAGAATGTTACGATTAGAAATATCTATTTCTAATAAGAATCATCATTTCAAAAATATTTCATTTATGAAACTTGTTAAATGCTTGAAATTTTTGGGAAACGTTTCCTTTATAGAGAAAAGGAAATTTAATTTAATCACTATTCAGCACTTTAAGGCTAATTTTGGTTATTACATTACTGCATAAAACATTTATTAAATATTAAAAGAGGTTTATAAAATAATACACAAGATGCCTAAATTGAATAATATGTACTACTCACAATATGCCAGTTCTACAGAAAGTGAAGGTGGTTATGATTCTGATAATGAAGATACTTATAGAACATTGATTGCATCACCATCTCAAGCTATTTTTTATCAATATATTGAAGTTAGACGTGATGAAGAATTATTACATGAATCTTGGAAGATCCAATTACGTGATCATTTGATTGATATAGAAGATATCAAAAAGAAATGTGGTATGGCAGTTCATCTGAGTGATGATCGAGTATGTTACATTTATAAACCTGCCATTGATGATCCTATAATACCAGGCATTAAATTTAAATTGGCACTTAGATATATCAAACTGTTACGTAAATGGTACATTAGTTTAGGATATAGTCGTTTTCCAGACATAATGGATCTTCGTAGTAAAATGCAAAACGGTACTTATAGTCCTGTTGGACCAACAATTCTTAAATTAGTACATAAAGTTAAAAATATATTAGATATTTATGTACAAAAATTGAGATACATATATAAAGTGATTGATATTATGAAAGTTTCCAAAGGTTACAAGGATATGGAATTTCAGGTAAAGCCATGCTTGACTAATTTAAAAATAATGCTCAAAGAGAAAGCATGGCCAAAAAGTTTAAGAAAAACATGTTATGAAGATATTATCATTTTAGAAATAGTATTGGATGAAAACTTTAAAACTGATGATCTTGCATATGAATATATATACAATAAAAATTTACCAGCACAACAGAAAAAAATATGTATAGCTAAGTTAGAAAAAAAGTTGCAGATATTTTTTGATTATGATTTAATGGAAGCATTTCAAATGTTCATGGAAGAAGATTCTCCTGGTGAAAATCAATCTTGAAGAAGAAAATATTGAAAAATGCTTAAGATATTTTAATTATTTATTTTTGTTTATATACATATATCAATGTATCAGTTTAAGTTAAAATATAAGTACATGTCCAGAAAAATATATATTTGTTAAATATTTATATGTTATTTCTTTGATGTATTATTGTACCTTTATATATGGTTGAAATTGATCTGTTTACTTAAAAAATATACTTTATGTTATTCTATGGTATATTATTTTCATTTTTTATTAATATATGTGTTTATGTTAAAATATAAACACAAATTGGGAAAAATAAACATTTGAAAAGAAAAAATAGTTTTAATTAATTACTATTTCTTTGTGTGTAGATTTATTCATTTAAGTCACATACTTCATGTTGTACTATGTTATTTATTTTAGTATTGCAAAGTTTAAATCAACGTCCTGGACAACCTATAACTATGCAAGGAATGCAAAATAAAATGCCAGGAATGGGTATGATGCCTGCTCAAACTACTGGTCCAATGAGTCATATGGGATCCATTCAAACTATGCAGAATAATTCAATGTTAACACAAATGAATCAAATGGCACAAGGAAATATTCCTCAACAAATGAACCAAATGGTTCCTAATCAAATGGGACAAATAACTACAAGCCAAATGCAGCAAAATATGCAAGTATGTACATATTTACTATTAGTAATAATATACGATTTTTTACATATTTTTATTTTGCAGACTCAAATGCAGAATCAATTATCTAATCAGATAGGTAATCAAATTGGTGGATCTATTAGTGGAATCCAAACTAGTTTACCACAACAAATGAATCAAATTGCTCCTGGACCATTAGGTCCTAGCCAAATGCAACAGCAATTGAGTCACATGCAGAGAAAGGTATATTAATGAAGAATTAACATGTAAGTGATATTATTTTCAGATTTTCATAGATATTAATATTGTTAGCAGGGTGAAATGATAAATGCAGGATTTGCTGGTCCTCGGAATGTTACTCCAAATCAATTTTTAGGACAGAGTCCATCTCCATCAGCTCCAAGTCCTGCTGGATTAGGTGCACCATCAAGGTTGTTACTGTAGAATAACTTTTCTAAAAAAAATTCGTATGTTCTTATATATTTCAAAATTTACATTGAAGTTAAAAATTATGTTCTTTGTAGCAATCAGATGGTAGCCTCGCCAGCATTAGTTCCATCGCCGAGTCCACAACATGCAATAATGGCAGGATCACAACGATCTGTGGGTATGTTGAAATAATTTTTAATATAAGATTTTAAAAACTGCTACAATAAGAAGTTTATTAAACAAATTATATTAAAATTAGGCATGGCACCATCGCCCAGTAGTTCTCTAAATACTCCTGGAGGAGTGGGTGCTACTCCAAGCCCACAACAAGAAGATCAAGCATATAGAGATAAAGTTAGACAGCTAAGTAAATATGTTGAGCCTTTGAGGAGAATGATTGCTAAAATGGGAAACGAAGGAAGTAGGTTTTTTAATGATTTTTATCTGATATTAATATTCTTGTATATTTATATTATTACTTACATAATTTTTAACTTTCTAGATGTCGATAAATTAAGTAAAATGAAAAAACTATTAGAAATTTTATCAAATCCCAGCAAACGTATGCCTTTAGATACATTACTAAAATGTGAGGTAGTCCTTGAAAAACTAGATTTCAAACGAAGTGATGCTAGTGTAGGACCTCCTGTAACAACTCTGAAGGAACATCATTTCTTTAGTCCACTTTTGGAAGCAGTAAGCACCCATCTCCAAAGTCCAGTTGTAAATCATACATTACAGCGGACCTTCGGTCCATGTTTAGAAGCTCTGTTTGGTCCGGAAATAAAGTAAGTAATAATTTTATATTTAAGTACAAATAGTTGTACTTATAGAGTACTCTGAATAAAGTCTTACGAAAATCTGTAAAAACAGGAATTTACCTCCACCATTAAAGAAACAAAAAATAGAAGAATCCCCGAGTGAAATTCCAGATGTCTTGCAAGGAGAAATAGCTCGATTAGATCAACGGTTTAAAGTAATTTATTCAACTTAGTTATTAATATAATACATTAATTTACATTCTAACATATGAATATGTTTGTGCATTTAGGTCAGTCTGGATCCAGCACAACAAAATGGATCGAAGTGTATTCAGTTAATATGTTGGTTGGATGACCGTCATCTTCCTTGCGTCCCACCAGTATCAGTTACAGTTCCTGCTGATTATCCTTTAACGCCACCGCGTTGTGTTATGGCACCTCATGAATATGCAACAACATTCCTTTGCGCAGTACAAAAAGCTTTAAATGCACGTATAACAAAGCTCCCTCGCCGATTTTCTGTATCTCAGTTATTAGATACTTGGGAAATGAGTGTGAGACAAGCCAGTGCACCTTCGCAAACTCCTGTTACCGCTAGTACAGTATTAATGGGTTTATAGTATGCTCTAATATAAAAGGTTTTACAAGTTTGAGACAAATATACATTAATTATTTATGTATTTTTTTTTAAGTATCCATATCCATATTTTCCTTGTTAACTTAAGACTAGTTGATACTAATTTTATATAATGTTTATATGACGTTGTAAAATAAATATAAATATATCTATTATTTTCTTATATTTGTGCAGTTTCATTCAAACTTTCATTCGAAGATTCATATAGTAATCAGAGAGTGGGGATTTTATAGCAATGTTGAATCGAATGCAATTTTAGAGAAGAATGTCCCTATTTTACGTCGGTTCTTTTTTTGATAGCATCTCTATGTTTTCATTTATCAATGCACGTATCCATAGTAATCGAGGAAATGTATAAAAGTTGCACTAGAATAGTTTAGATTTTAAATTTTGGAATTTAGATTGAACTGTGTGTCGTATTCCTAACCTGATATATATACATAAGTCATTTACAATACATCACGTTAGATACAAAAACCGAATCATAATGTTTATTATTACTTTCTTTATTTTATCAATGACATTGCATAGCACATATTGTGAAAATTTTGATATTGATACAAATGGCTACATTGTTTATTGTCCCTGTATGGGTAAGATTTAAATATAATATTACAGTAATACTTATAGGTATTCTTTGAATTGATTAATTTAAATTGTTTATTTAATTATAATTTCTAGGAAGATTTGGAAATCAAGCAGATCATTTTTTAGGTGCTTTAGGATTCGCAAAAGCCTTAAATAGAACATTAGTTCTACCACCATGGGTTGAATATAGAACTGGAGAGACAAGATCTGTTAGTAATTAATGACCTTTAATATCTTATGAAATACAAATATTTTTAAATTGAATTCTTAATGTATTTTTCAGATACAAGTTCCTTTTGATACATATTTTAATGTTTCTCGAGTACAAAGTTGTCATAAGGCAATAGTTATGGAAGATTTCATGAAGGATATTGCACCAAGGATATGGCAACCAAAGGAAAGAGTATGTAAGTTCTAAATTTGAAATAAAAAAAGTAAATGTCTTTTTTTAACATTTTGTTACTTTTAGCTTTTTGTTACTCTGCACGTGGAAAAGGGGATTCATGCAATGCTAAAGAAGGAAACCCATTTGGTCCATTTTGGGACACATATAACATAGATTTTGTAAAATCAGAATTTTATGGTCCTCTGCATTATGATGTTTATCATACAGACATGGCATTACAATGGGGAAGACAATACCCTGCTATAAACTGGCCAGTATTGGCTTTTACAGGTGCACCTGCTAGCTTTCCTGTTCAGTTAGAAAACAAAAAGTTACACAAATGTCTTGAATGGAATACAGATATGCTTAATAAAGCAAAAGCATTTGTAAAAGAAAAATTACCTAGAGGAGCATTTGTAGGAATTCATTTACGTAATGGAATTGATTGGGTAGTTATTATTACATTATTCACATATTTTGGATAAGAGAAAGTACTACAGAGACAATATGTATATTTTATTTTCAACAGGTTCGTGCTTGTGAATTTATATCAAGTACACCAAACCTTTTCGCTGCTCCTCAATGTCTCGGTTATCGAAATGAACGCGGAAAAGCAACTTCTGCTATGTGCTTGCCAACATTTGATTTGATAGTACGTCATTTAAAACGTGTTATACGTAATGGCAATGACATTAAATCAGTATTTGTAGCATCTGATAATAATTACATGATTGAGGAACTTACTAAAGCATTGGCACGTATGGAAGTAAGAAATTTAAATAACATGTTGTGTAGTATGTACAATAGTTTATGTAAAAGTATGTTCAATAAAACGTCCCTACATTTTATATAGGTACCGGTGTTCAAACAAGATCAGCCTGCATCTCCTCATTTAGACTTAGCTATTCTTGGAAGAGCAAATTATTTTATAGGAAATTGTATTTCTTCTTTCTCAGCGTTTGTAGCAAGAGAAAGAGAGATTAAAGGATATCCTACATTTTTCTGGGGCTTTCCTACGGAAAGATCATCAGCCTCCATTATGCATGAAGAATTGTAACATTTGTAACTACCTTTATCATATATTTTCATTTATTCTTAATTTCATTCATTGATAATTAATAAGAGACATTTACATTTTAATTAAATTATTATAAAAACTTGATGGACTCGTCTTTTTATGTACCATTTTTTTAATAAATATTGAACTAACTAATAATGAACTATATAAACCATAAAAAATACAAAAAATATGTAACAATATTATTTAATAACTAATACTAGTTGCTTCTGAGTTCTTTTATAACATATTGTTCCTTTTTAAATTTTATAAGAAATAGAATGGAGTTATCAGAAATATAAAGTTTTATAATACCAAAATTATTTTATTTACATTTAACTTTTATTGCTCAAAATTACCGCATTTTTATATAGTACAGAAGATTACTGAAAGATGTCATGGAAGTTGTGCAAATGAAATGGAGGACGTTGAATTGAACATTCAATGACAATCTGTTACATTGAGTAAAAATTTTGATACTTCTACAAAACTTTCTATTATCATTCGTTGTTGGAACATAAATATCGCTTGTACTGTGTAAAGTAATTTAAATATTAATAATACGTTTTAATTCGATACAGAAAATGGCCGATCCCAAATATGCCGATTTACCTGGAATTGTAAGTACTTCATATTTTACACACAGAAATGTCATGTCAAACTTCTGTCAATATAATTTGATTGTCGTACATTTCGGGCAAAAATCTATATTTAACGTTTCTTTTATTTAGTTAGATATACTTTTTTTGTTGAATTATATGTCCCATATAATGTATATGCACTTATCCATTTGCCTTGCCATTTATGTTGCTTGTTTGTATAAATAGGCATATGATCAAGTTGACGTATATGAAACAACTGATTTACCAGAATCTGAGCAGTTTCAACTTTATCCAGAGGTAAAATATTCATAGATTACTTGTAATTTATTTCATGTAGAAGTAATACTTCAATAACATTAATATTTTTATTTTTCAGGATGAAGTTGATTCTATAGCAAAGTTACATATTAGTGCAACAGAAGCATTTAATAAATTTAAAGGTAAACAAGTTGATGGAGAGGCAATTGATTTTTCTGACCGTATATCATCTAAACCAAGGACAGGATATAAGTAAACCTCTTTTTTAATATATAAATATAAAATATAATTTTAATATATTAAGTTACATTTGAAATTTTAGAATTAGAGATTGGGAACTCCCTGGGGAAGGAGAGAAGGAAACACCCATTCAAAAATATCAACGTTTGCAATGTGAAATTAAAGAATTATATGAGGAAGTTAATGATTTAAAGGTACTCATTGATATATTTTATTTTAAATTTTATTTTCCTCTTTCATATTTGTATTTGAAATATCATAATACATTCGATGTTATTTCTACCATAAAACAGGAAAATGAGAATGCAGATAATACATCTGTAATTGATATAATATCTCAAGTACAGCATCTAGAAAAACAGTTAGATTCCTTAAAATTAGAAGAATGTCTTGGTGCTGATCTTATTGCAACACTGTCAGATCCTCAAGGCACAAGACTTAAGTAAACTTTCATATATAATTTTCATGATAAAATATTGATAAATTTCTTGCCTTAAATGATTAATTTCCAGGCAGTTAATATCACAAATAGAAGCATTCAAGCAAACTAATATTCCTGCTTCTCAATCTGATTCAAAAGAACAGAGCATGAAGACTGATAAGGCAGCTGAAAATGGGATACTTAAATATCAGATGATGTATCTTCCAGAAAAAGCAAGAATGCAAGAAGCAGCTAGAATTGCATTGCTTGAACAAAGACTTTGTAATTTAGAAAGTGTTATTGGAACAGCTACTGATAAACTGGACAAATTTTCACGGGTATAATATAATTATTCATTTTATTACTAGATTAATACAAAGTAACTAATACATTTTTTTTATAGAATCTCAAATGTCAAGGAATTATGGAAGCTGTACAAGAACTTGGAGCAAAAGCTGCATTATTAGACATGTATCAACTAGACATCATTGAAAGCAGATTAGCTACTGTAATTCATAAAATGGATAACATTCAACAAAAAAAGGTTGCATTGTCCTTAGATTCAGAACAAGAGCAAAAGGTAAATTACTTTTTTCGTTATATCAGTTCAACTTGCTTCTTAGCGAATTAATATTTATTTGAAATCGTTTTCAGATCTCAGAAATGTATGATATAATGAAACAAACAGAAACTATGTCACATGTTTTACCGCAAACTGTAAATCGAATGTTGGCTTTGAATACTATTCATCAACAGGGTGCGTATTTGAATATGGTACGAAATTTCTTTTTAATGCTGTAATGTGTAATCACCTTTTCAATGTAATTTTCAGCTGCTACCTTTAGTAAGTCTTTAACGCGTTTAGAAGAATTGCAGTCTCAAATTACGACTGATTTGGAAAGTAATAAATCTCTTTTGAAAGGAGTACAAGAAAGTTTTGCATCAAATTTAGAAATTATAAGAACTAACATAGAATCTTTAGATGAACGTATTAAGAAACTTAGCAAGTGATAGTCGATAAAACAAGTGAAGATGCATTGCAGATTATGGTACTTCGACTCTAAAAGTATATATTTATTATATGTTAAATTACACACAATTAACTAATATTTTTTAAATATATCGTTAATTTACTGACACTAATATACCTCATCATGTATTGCATTTTGAAAAAAATCATAATTTCAAGTTCTTTTGATTGTTAAATATAATTTTTTAAGTGGCCAAGATGAATTATCCTTATCTTCTAAACAGTGCAAATAAACCAAATGCTTTTTAAACATTAATGTGAAAAAATAGTTGTGCTTTTATCTAAATGCAGGAAAATGAGTAAGAAATGTAACACTTAAAATACTTGTATATTTTATTTTTATTTAACTGTAATTAGAACCGTAGTTTTTGGAAGAACCATTTGTTTTTACCAGATTTGTACCTGTAAATAAGTATTTATTTTATTTTATCATTTATTAAATAATTTTTAAAGAACTCACAAAGATGTACATACTTTTCCTCAAATTTGACTCTTGTCTGAAATCGAACTTTCTTGCGTTTCATTGGATCCTTAAGATCTTTAGGAGCTACTTTATCCCAATGCAAGTCTACGCTATACCTTGTTGGCATTAAATGATTGTAGTTCAATACCTGAAATATATTCAATTAACATTTTATTTAAGAGTTTAACAATAAAAGTTTAAGTACAATAAATATAGAAACTGAAATGTTTAATATTTGTTTCACATGTTATTTGCTTCAATATTTTTTTAAATAATTTAAAAGATTGACTTACTTTTACAAATGGCTTGATCTTGGAACGTTTATGGATTTTTGCTTTACCCATTCTTTTATGTACTTTACGTGGGTATCGGTCAATGCCTGCAACCATGGCATGTCCATATTGTTTTTCTGTAGTACCATCATCAAAATTTCGTACAACGACAGCTTTTCTCCCTGCGTATCGGCCACTAAGGACCAATACGACTTTTCCCTGTTTCATAATCTTCACCATCTTGAAGATGTGTGCTGCATACACAAAAATGACAAAATACTGTATTAATATAAAAAACTAAAGATGTGTTATTTGTTAAAACTAGTTCCAATCAATAATCTACTTCAAGTTATGTATTATATTTCTTTGTTTTATAACAATGTAGGTAATGCATTAATTGGCAGTTGTAAACATTGCATCCAAGAGCATCACATAACCTCTATCATACCACAATTATTTTTTAAATTAAAAATGAAAATTGTACAAAAGTAACATTAATTGAAATACATTGAATTCAAATCATATGTTTAATTTCAAAATTGATTTAATACAAATAAACAAAGCATTTATTAAAATATTGAAAAGCCTATTTTAAAAGTTATAGAAAGCAAGAATGTTTAATACATAAAAATTATTAGAATAAATACGGTTTAAAACAATACTCTATGTAAAATGAGATTATTTTTCGATTTTCCGATGTTTTTCGATTACTTTCTACAGTGACAGGCACCACACACACCTCACGGTTTTTCGCACCGGAAAAAAGGAAGTTAACCTAACTTTTAAACAAGTGTAAAATACAAAATGCAGATGTCGCACCACTAAACATCCGGCAATATCAACAAACCAATGATAGGTTACCATTCAAATGAAGTTGGGTAAAATTGTTCTTTATCGAAGAATTGCAATTTAAATTTTTCTCATCTGTCGTTAAAAGGTAAAAAATATCCTTTTCTTTCTTAAAAAATGTGTTATACAATTTAATAAAATAATGACGAAATAATTTTATATATTCTCAATTATGAAATTCGCGAACAAGCAGTAAATTATTTGCACGAAAGTGAGCACAGTCTTTGTCAAACATCAAAACTTTTCGAGAGTTCGAGAATAATGCCAAACGATTTTCTCGATACATCGAATTGGTCGGCATAAGTAGCTTCCTGCTCGCTTGTATCTCACACGAGGGATGTTAAGAGGCATTATTTTATTCTTCTTATAAGACCTTTCCTAAAGATAAAAGTGTCGAACCATTAAATCACAGAGGAAGGCTATTATCGTTAATATTGAGTAGTGAGTGGGACGTAATAAGTTAGCGTAATGGCATTAAACCCTCAATATGAAGTTATTGGGAAGGGTTTCGTGCAGCAGTATTATGCGCTGTTTGATGACCCTACTCAAAGACCAAATTTAATAAATATGTATAATGTAAGTTTTTACTGTTCATAATTGTGTTCATTTGCTGTGTTAATCGTGGTTTGCATATGCATTCATTATCGTGCTTACAGACCGAGTCATCATTCATGACGTTTGAAGGTTTACAAATACAGGGTGCTATTAAAATAATGGAAAAATTAACTGTAAGTACTTCCAATAAATAAGAAAAGTAAGTTAATTTTATAGTCCAACAGTCATTCCTTCTTAAAAGATATTGGTTAGGTTAAGAAAGTACAAAAATATATTGAAATTTAGTTATTTAAAAGGAAAAGTATATTCATTTTGTATATATGAATAATGAATTTTATTTAATGAATTAAGTTATAATTTTTCATTTTCAGAGTTTAACGTTTCAAAAAATTAATCGGATAATAACTGCTATTGATTCACAACCAATGTTTGATGGTGGCGTACTCATTAATGTCTTAGGAAGGTTGCAGGTAAGAGAAATAGTTTTTCTATATTATAATAGTAATAGAATAAATAAATATATTCATACAGAAGTATATAAAAACTTAAGGCATATATACATAATAAGAATTTAACACAAAAAGGTGATATATCTTTTTATATGTTCAAAATTCTTGTTCCAATTAGTTCAGTAATTTGATTTTGTGATGCAGTTGTCTTTTGAGACTAAATAATGCAATATATTTTTGAAGTGAAAAGAAATTTTGGCTTGAGTATTTGGTTAAATTGTTTGTTACATCGATGTACATTATGTTTGTCCATATATTATACTTTATTGGCTGGACATGCTACACAAATGTGTACTGTACTGCCTTACATTTTTTGTGCTGCCATATGAAGATAGAGATTGAGCTATGACTAATGTCCAGCAACAATCTCTCTATATACCTACGCAAAGAAGATGAAATAAGAAAATTGAGTCAGTGATTGTTGATGATTGGGCAGACTGATGAGGATCAGCCCCATGCATACATCCAGACATTTGTCCTGAAGCCAATTGGCACCAGCTTTTACGTGCAGCATGACATCTTCAGACTTGCCCTGCACGACACCGTTTAGGCGTCAGGTATTGATATTCCATTGGTCTTCGTACCATGGTACAGGCAAGCTCAATTCTAATTTTTAGTCTGAAAATGCTTGTTACTTACTAGTATGGCTGCTTGTTATTAACTTTAAATGTGTAGTTTTAGCAATATTGCTTTTTGTATGTGCTATAACTTCTTTTTTCTTCTTGCACCAGTCAGTAATAAATGTTGCACCAAAATGTCTTTTTAATATTAAGAAATTACCCTATATTTAACTACAGGTTTATGTATTATTAATTATATATTTTTATAACTTTGGGAACTGTTAATTACACAAAACAAAATCTTAAATTGCTGAACTGACTGGAATAAAAAAAATTATTTTATTTTATTTATACAAAAGTGTAATAGAATAATGATTGTAATATATTTATTTTTTTATAATTTTAACCATTGAAGTACTATTATGTATTTTTTGTCATAATACTGGAAATAACTTACTCCAATATAACATACAAGTTTATTGCAGTTTTATATAAATTTGGAACACAAAATATATTTTTAGATTAAGTGTTATCACTTGGTAAGTTTATCATACATAACATATATATTTTTTGTTCATTGTATATCTCAAATAGCATTTGGATCATTTTTGCATGACTTAATAAAATTATTAATTTCAGTCCAGTATAACATACAATAGGTAACCATAATTTGGTTTTGCATCAATATATTTTTGCATATAACCAATTTGTTCTAACTTCTGCATATGAAAAGTTAATTTTATGCAGAGTGTCCAAATTGAATACTGCCAAAGATATTTACTTGCATAACATACTTGTATATATATATTTGTAAAATATATATAATCTGTTACAGGCTGATGAAGATCCACCACATGCCTTCTCACAGATTTTTGTGCTGAAGCCACTGGGGAATTCATTCTTTTGCCAACACGATATTTTCCGTCTTGGCATTCATGATAGCGCGTGAAGGGAAGTGTCTGCAAGTTCACCATGATTAATAGCAGACAATGATCTAATCCATGGACTCCCCAGAGATTGAAATAAGTGAGCTACTTTCTCCTTAATATCCTTTGTCAATCACATATTATTCTATTCTTTCTAGATATTGCAATTTTTATATAAAAAAAATATCTGCTTATATCTTGGCCATAAAACAAAAACAGGAGAGCATTCAAAATAAACACAGTTTAATAATCGTCTTGCTTTCCTCATTTTCTGAATATGCCTGTTATTGGTTACGTGATTATAATATAACACCACCATAACATGTTATATAATCTTTGATTTAAATGATCAATTGATTGTGCTTTGAATTGTATTACATATTTTCTCCTTATGCTGTATGTATTTTTGTAAAATAGATACTGGCCATTAAATACAACATCCAAACTTAATAATGTGATATTAGCTTCCATTCTGCGATAAGCAATATAAAAAAATTTTAAATATAAATTGAAAGTAATGGAAAGTATTTCCATATTAAACTTATTATAATATCAATTTATTATATAAAATTAGTAAATGCAATAACTATACATATTTTTATGTAGCCTTAACGCGATTATTTAATTATAATTTACACTTCATTATAAATTGCCACGTTTAGCTTGTTCCATCTCAATAGCTTCAAATAATGCTTGGAAATTTCCAGCTCCAAACCCCTATAACGAAAATAGAAATCAACATATTTTTAATGATCTTAATTTTAAATAATTCTTAGTAGGTTTAAATTGTAATAAAGAATAGATATATTTTAATTTTATATTACTAGTTATAATACTTACATTGTGATTGTGCCTTTGAATTACTTCTATGAAAAGAGTTGGACGATCTTGCATGTTTTTAGTAAATATTTGTAAAAGATATCCGTTTTCGTCATAGTCAATTAAAATTTTCAATTTCTGGAAGTATAATATTTAAAGGTTTAGTAGTGATTATAAGCTTTTATTAAAGTTATTTCACATGTATCTCAGTTTTCATTTTCTTACCTGAAGTATATTAAGATCTTCTATAATTTTTACCCCACTGTTCTTCAAACGATTTCTTAACATATCATAGTAACTATCCGGTACATCCAGGAATTCCACGCCCCTAGCTCGTAAATTTTGTATCTGAAGCACAAGGAAACTTCGTAATATCGAAAATCAGTTTAAAGATTTATAAAAATTAAGAATGATATTTACAGCTGTAACTATATCATTTGTATTAAGAGCAATGTGTTGTACTCCTGCTCCTCCATAGTATTCTACGTATTCTTGTATTTGAGAACGTTTCTTGCCAGGAGCAGGCTCATTAATAGGCATTTTCACTGTTTCTTCCCAATTTGTCATTACAATAGAGCGTAAAGCAGAATATTCTGTATGCAGTTGAGTATCATCTACCGACCAGAATCGATGAAACTGCAGACATCGTTCATACCTACAATCACATCATTTTTTTTACAAACAGTACTTTTCATAGTTTCTCACATTTTTAATCATATTATATACCATTTTGCAACAGGTTCCATTTCTTTATCAGGTTGATTACCAACAATATGATCTACGAAATTTAATCCAATTTTCGGTCTAAAAAATAAAAGTATGATATTATTGTGTTAATTTACCCCTTACATTGTACTTTGCTTAAAGTATTTTACATACAAACTCTTCAAAAACGAATCTTTTTCTTGCTTTTTATATCCTGGCAGAAAGAATCCTTTATATTTTGATCTATCTATGAGGGTATGATATGTATCTCCATACTGTCAATTAAAACACAATATTTATTAAAAGCAATTATATTTATATATTCTTTTTATATAGTCTACTTACAGTTTTTATTGTAGCAAATTTCACAGTACCATATTCATCCTTTTCTTCCCATATATCTTTCACTATTTTTGCACCTCTCTCTTTCGCGATCTATCAAATATTAATTGTTATAATTTTTAATCTACTATAAATTTGTTTATTTCTTTACATACTTTCACAATGATCTCTATATCTTCAACGTTCAGGGCAATATCGCGGACACCATCACCATGTCGTGAAAGGTGATTTGCCATCTCTTTGTTATCAGGTTCATAGGCTGATTCAAATACAAAAATAATCTGTAAATAAAATATCCTTAAATAAATGAAGTATCACTCTTTCCTTTACTGTATTGTATCTTATGCAGTACGTGTTTAAATTGCAACATTAATTTTATAAAAATGTTTTTATTAATAAAAATTTTCTTTTAGTATACCTGATTTTGTTTCACAACATGAGCTGCAACTTGTCTTGAGCCAGTTTCTAAACCGCGATAACCCAGAGGTTCAAAACCCAGCCTAGCACAATAGTAACTGGCAGCCTAAAATGATGAATATTTTTATTTTTGATATTCAAACTATGAAGTCAGAAGAATAAATGTAAAATCCTGATTATTTTTTCATTTTATAACAAGTTTTGATTACCTGTTTTGCATTTCCAACCCAAAATTTAATATGATCAAAGCATACAAACTTTCCACCCAAAGGCTAAAAATCCAAAATCACATTAATCAGACATTTATACACTCAATTTGTTTTATCATTCTATTATCATATTGCAATCTACTTACCTTTGGTCCTTTATCCGTATATGTGGTCTAAAAAGATGGAAAATTTTTAAATTAATTTTTTTTTTAACAAATCAATTGAGATAAATTTTACTTATGGAATAAAGTAATATAATTTTATGTTTAACTACAGATTGTTGTTTTCTTACCATTTTAAATGTCCGTAGAACCTCAAGTGCAGTTAGTCAAAGTTTTGTTTTTAGTGGTTCATAATCACAGGAGTATCCCGCTTAAATATCACCGCATCAAAATCAACTATCGATATCCTGATCGTTGATTGGTCGATCGTGGAGGCTTGTTTTGTATCACATTCTTCTAGAATTGTGATACGCAAATCAACTGAATAATATTATCGTTTCTAGCAGGTTTTTCAGGGTTGCTCTACGACATGATCATTTGATGTTTTCTCGAATGTGGGCTCGCCTCTGAAATTACCACGTGCTAAGGTCATTTCTTTGATTGAGCTAAAGTAGGCTGTTCAATAAAAGTTTACCTTTTCTGTGCATATTAAACACTGAGGTCTCTTCTATGTAATATTCAGATATTTTATTTAACTTGTTATTTAGTATTTTATATTTTATTTAACTTGTTATTAATACACAGGTGACAACATTATTAACTTTTTCTTTATACATTTGCAATGAAAAATATTTCTAGCCAAACGTAGTTGAGAAGAAGAAATATATTGCAATCCCTTAAAATTGTTATTACAGTATACTTGATACAATAAATAATGCATGATAATACTTTGTTATGAGCGAATGTTTACCTCTTCTGATTTTTTGCAAGACTGAAGTATTCATTGAATGTGAAATTTTTAAATTTGCATCTTGAGTATACATGACTGATATTGTATCATGAAAATATTGTAAGTATTCAGTATCGGTGCTTTCATTATCTAGTTTAAGAAAAACAAATAAATTGAAATTTGTTTAAACAATTATTACTGAGACAACTAATTAATAGAACAAAGTATTAAATATGTATGATGATTTCTATATAAATCATGGAAATTCAGAATGTTCTGCTTCTGAAAAACTTTCCGTTAATGGGGGCTTGCCATTTTGAATAATAAAACGCGATTGGTCGTGCGTCAGCGCGTGATTCTTGTTTAATAGACGAGTTTTTGATGCAAATAGCGCGTGAAATGAAACGTGTGTTCTGCGTGGAATAAGCATATTAACAAACTAGCAGAACTAGGAGGCTCGCCTCGATTTATTTTCGTCATCATCGAAGTCGAGGAAGAAAAACGGCACAATGACTTCCAGATTCCAGATCTGCGGTAAATATCCATAAATTGTACATGATGTTTTGTTCAAAATAAAAACAGTATAATGATGTTATAGTTTTGTATTAGTACGTATAAATATAGTATGCTGTTTTATAATATTTATACCATGTAAATATTTTATCTGCATTTTCAAATTATTCTATATAAAAATTATAATGAAAACTTGAACTATTTTTTAGACTTTGGAATTCCAGAAGTTTAGGACTTTCAGATCTTGAAAATTATGGTCCATGATAAAATTATTTTAAATTGAATAAAACATTTTAATCGGTTAGACTAAATTTAATTTCACTACAGAAATAATGTTTTTGATAACATGTTAGATGACTAGATTAGATGATTGAAAGTATAATATAGAAAATATGCATACGAATTTAAGCATACTACTATAAACAATATAATATACTAATATTAAGTACATAATGAAAAAAAAAAAGAATAAAGATGTTTGACATATTAAATATTATAGTTAACTCATTTTACTTAATAATAATATTGTTATATTACAGATTGAAAATAAATTTTTATACAGTTTACAAATTAAAATTATAATTAAAATCTAAGAGAATTCATAGTTTCATTGACTCATTCATATTGAAAAGAAATAAGAATCATCTTTTTTAATACTTAATGGAAACCTATTATAACTAGTGAAAAACTGTTATTAGTTTCTAATAGCTAGTTATTTTTTAATTCCTGTAATTCATTTTGTAGTAAATTTCTTATATGCGTGGTTTTTCTAACATTTCTTTTTGACATATTTTTTGTAACATTGACATATGTTATACTCTTTTCTTGTTAATAATAATGCTACTTTAATTTAACATATATACTCAATGATATCATATATTAAAAATGATGCTTTTTAATACATAAAATATAAATTCACATTTATATAACACCGAATTATTAAAAAGTTAAACAATACTTAACAATTATTATACCTATTTATAATACAAATTTTTACTCGTAATAACACAATCTTAAATACATAAATAAATTATTTAATTAATTCTAAATATCACTTAATTTGGACGTAGTAGTACAATACTATAGGTCTTGTTTGTTTCTTCTGTCTAAGACATTTAAAGCTTAGAATTAAACAAAGCATTGTCACATCATGCTATTCTATTGCAGTTAAGTGTCGCATAACATTGAAACCATACATAATAAAAATCATTTGTTCTTATAATAAATGATTCTAAAAGAAAAATGTATAATTGTATTACCAATTTTACTTTTTATATTTAGAAAGTTAAGTTTTTAACGTCGAACCATTGTTTTAATTCTGAAACTCGCAATATTTAATATATTTTTGTACGATTATGATAAAATTTGAATTTCTCTGATAGCAATATTGTTAAACAATTAATGTAGATTCGTTATAAAGTAAATATCTTTAGTGAAACATGTAATATTTTATATTAAAATACATTTTCATAGCCCAGAAAATAGAAATGCTTTAATACCAATTTTATTATGTATGGTTGGTACATGTAATTAATATAAAATAGTTTCGATTATAGCCAATTCTTAAATTATTATACCAAATAGTATCTTCTTTGTTACAAAAATACGTGTAGAAAATTTTAATTGTAAGATTAGTTAATTAAATTAATAGAACGTTTATCATTTTAATATCTGGAAAGATATGAAAATTTGAACTCATTGTTTCTTACTCATGATGTGGACATTTTAAATAAATATGATACTATCTATATACACGTTCAAATGTATACGTGATATCTATGCACGATTATTAGAAAGTTATCACTATAGTAATAAAAATTCAACTACTGTTACATGCTAATTACTAAATGCAGGAATACATTCTCGTTTTTCGATGTCCTTGTATTATCATGTAACAAGGTGAAGAGAATGTTCCTGTGATAATAATTAAGAAATTCGAAAAATTTACCTATTACTATACGCAAAAAATATGTACAAAATGTGATATTGTATCATTACTTTGGCATGCCATAATATACAATAAACACAATATTAAATGAAATAAATTAATCTGGAATGATGTTGTAATGTAGATATTTGTAGATAATTGTAATTTATAGTAATACAATCCCGTGATCTCTTTCTAGTCTACGTTTTGCTTTAAGAGATACAATTCCCATTAAATCTGCAGGAGTCGGAAGTCCTCCAGAGGTATTTGGAGCCACTGCTTGTTGATAAAATACCTCTATGTTTCCACACTGGTTACCATAAACAACAGTATCTTCCGTTCTAATTAATTAATAAAATATACTCGTATTTTTTTCCATACTTTGTGAAGCATTATTATAAACAATATTTGTCAAAGTTAAAACTTTGTGCACGAGTAAATAGTCAAAAATTTATTATAACAAGTTTGTAATAAAGAGAAAGTGTATTTAAAACTACATTGCATTCTTTTTTTCTCAAGTTTAAAAAATTTTCAAACATTAGCATTATTTCAACGAAGCAAAAAAGATCTACTAAAACAAATTATAACTGTCATGTGCAAAATTAAATTAATTTTAAATGAGTCATCTAACATCTAAAGAATTACCTGACAATGATATCCGTGAGGTTACTAGCATGCTTGAATCTATCATGAAGACAAGAAACAATGTCCAATTCAGTGACACCCCAAAGTCCAGAACGATGTATCGTATCCCATTGGGGATCAATACTTAAAATACTATATAACTCTTTATTTTCATTTGACGGCATAGGTTCTAGACATTGCTGCAATCTTGCTTCGAGTTTTCCTAATGTACTTACACAAGTTTGCCACTGTAATATGTATTGTTGAATTAAAGAAAGTTATTTATCATAAATTATTGATGTATTGAAACATAAAATATGCTTACAAGAAAATGTATAAGATCAGGATTATTGGCAGTTCCGTTTTCCATTAACAATACTAATACCATATTTTGATGTCCACAAAGAAATAATTCCGTTTTCTCAAGACAAACTTCATTCTTAGATGTAGTTACCCAATCTTCTTCTAGTTCATCCTCTCCATCACTACCAGTTTCCTTATTAACTGCTTCTAATTTTTGTTTGATCAATTGATTTGTTGTCGTTGAAAATCCAGACAAATCACGAAATTCGCTGGGAGTAGTTTCTCTACTACAAAAACCACTGGTTCTTTCATCAGCAAGTAAACTAAGTTTGGACATGAGAGGTGTTAATTGTAGACCATCTAGTTTTTTCTTCTGAAGAAAATCATACGAGTTGCCACATTCTGATGTTGATTTTCGTCTATCATCGTTGTCGGTAATATTGAGTGGTTTTAAAGGAAGACTCATTGATCTACGATAAGTTTCCTGTTTTGTTTTATCACCTAATTTTATGTCACGAGAATTACCCGGTTTTTCAGAATTATTACTAGTTATTGTATCACAGTTGTTAGTCATATTCTTCGCATCACAATTTTTTGTTAAACTTACTAAAAAGTCGTTGTGATTTACTAAATAGTTTTGATCGTCTTTAAGTTCTTCATAATGCGAAGATATGTATTGCTCGTACAGAGATTGAGATGCTGGCAATCCATCACATCGAAATACAGGATAACAAGGATCAGTAATTGTATGAAACTGTCTCCTATGCATAGGTCTCCTTCGAGGGGAAGATTCAGGAGACATACTGGCTTTCGTCTGCGGTAAACCTAGTCCGTACGTTCTAACTGATATTCGATTAGTGTAAAAATTTGTAGATGATTCTAAATCATGCATGCTTAAACTTTTTTTACTGAATTCTTTCCTTTTAACTAGTTTTTCTTTTGGCGTTTCGTTTCGTAATTTATTTAAACGTTTACATCTAAGTGCTTCTTTAACAACATCTGGAATGTCATCAACATTTGTTCTCACTTCTTTCTTTTCTTCTTCTGTTTCACCATTTGCTTCCTCGTTCGTGTTACATATTAACATGACATTGCCATGCAACACTCTATTAATATCTTTTAAAGGCGTAGAACAAACACTTGGAGTTAAAGGATTTGCACACTTAGGACGGTCTGATTTACTTTCCTGTTTGCGCTTAACTGGAGAATTGTAAGTTGTAAGTGGAACGGAAGATACATAATGGCTATTATCATTATACTGTGATGAATCTAATTCTCCTTCTTCAGGTACAGTAAAAATACGAGAAGTGTCACGTTTCATCCCAGATAAAGGTAATTCTTTAGCATTCTTGGACATATTCTAAACAATTTAATAGTTTTGTTACTATATGCACATCATAACTTATCTTTTAATATCTGCTTACCTTTCTTTGTAAGGTCTTTTTTGCAGCAGAATCCAAATAAGAACTGTAATATCGTTCATTATTTGCTTCTTGTAAGAGTTTCGTGAATTGTTTTTGTTCAATGTACACCCTCATTAACTGCACTCCAACAGGTAAATGAAATTCAGTTGATATTCTCTCTGCTGGGGCCTAAGAAGCAAATTTGTATACAAAATACAAGTGATAAAAAAATTTGTTCATATTATATAAGTATTATATACCATTAGTAATTTAAGATACCTTTATTCTATATGGATCAGTTATAACAATTTGTTTTGTCAAATCAGAACTCAGTTGAGTAGCAACTACCCTAAAATGTTAATACATTAATGTTTTCAGACAGAAAAATTTCGAATAATTTATAAAATAACTTACTTATTGTTATAGAAGAGTGCACCACCCATAATACCATTAGTTTCTTGACAATATTGTAAAACTTGAATTGCTTCTAAAAATATGTTACTAGCACTCTACAAAAAAAAACATTAAATTAATTTATAATACAAAGTGCAGTATAATCAGGAAAATAAAAATAAAATATTAACCTTTGGAAGTTTAATAATAGGAATGTTAGAAAAAAGATTGGCACTATATTGAAGAATTGGCAAATATGTTTCAAACATTTGATATAACTTTTCGGTAAATTTATTTCTATCATTATTAAATGATTCTAATATTTTATTGAGATCACAATGGAAAAATTGTAATAATGATTCCAATGTATTTGCACGCCTTTCTAGAACCCAATCATGAATATTCCTATCAGTTCCTACTGCCTGCAAAGTAATAATCAATGAAATATGTGTGCTGAATTACTTCATAGTAGCAAATGATACATTAAACAATAATAAAGATACTGTGCTTCATTCACTAAGAGACTTATTCACTGATAATTGTAATAGCTTTGGTAGATAACCACTACTATCATATCTATGCTATACAGTACCTTTTACTTTGTATATTTTAAGATTTCCAAATGGAATAGTTATGAGTTGAAAATTAATAGCTTTATATAATGTTAAGAATCTGATAATAATATACTTACAAGTACATACTGGCCAAATTTTTTTAACACAAATTTTCCACCCTGTAATGTAATTGATTTTGGAGCAGAAAAAGAAGAGGTAAGAAACTGATTAACAGCCATCAATTGACCTGCTAAAGCTAGTCTTTGAGTAAGAGATACCCATGCTGGATGGAAATACATAACTGCCTCGGCAGGATCATCATCTTCTTTACAACACCTTGCAGTGTCGTAAACAAACACTATCATCATTTCTCTAAAAACAAACAAAAATTAAGAACAATTGTAATAACCCAATATTTATATTTATTTAGTATTTAAAATCTATTTATATAAAATAACATGGAAAATAAAATAAGACATCATTTTGTAAAAAAATGAAATAGCTTACCCTGAAATAATTGATAAAAATGTTCTATATGCAATTGTGAAAATTTACCAATTTTCATTTTTACAAAATCACAGACATAATATTAATGTCTATAACTTGCTATGATTCTGATATACTAAGAGGTCTATGAAGAAAACAATCGTAGGCAAAAAATTACTGATTAGCTGCACCATTAACCGATAACAAAATAAATGAGATAAGATTACAGTTTAGAACACACCTTTTATAAGCACTTTGTTGTTACATTAGAATCTGTTGTGTATACATACATTACAAGAACTTGTAATACTATCATTCATAGATATTTAAAAAGAGACAAACAGGTTTTTCCAGTTTGGTAAAACTGATTTAATCAGTAATTGTCAATAAGTATCATAATCCTACAAGTCATATCTCCTTTTATCGTTAAAAGGATGTTTTATAAATAATATAAAAAGGAATGTTTTACTCTGACAAAATTTATATTGAGCTTTGAAAGTAGTATTTTATTTATACTTATATAAATTATGTACATTATTTAAATATACGGAAAGGCTTTGAAACCAATTAAATACCTTACATTATGAAATACTAATAAAACAAATGTACTGCAATATATTTAGATACATATGTACATGCATGGATTACTACTAAGTACTACATATTTTGAAACTAAAATTTAATATTACTTTTACTCATTAATAGAATAATCAAATGTGTACTTTTATTTACATAAATACTATTCTATTCAAAATATAAAATGTGTCGATTAAATTACACGTAAACATAAATTAGTTAATTATACATATAAGCTATTGCTTAGTATATTTACTATATTACAATTAATTTCTTAGAAATCAAATCTGCAATAAACATGTGTTATTTAAAAATTATGATACTAAGAGGTATTCCAACAATTTCATTTGTCTGGAATAGCATGGTTATTTTAAATAACAGAATTACTTATAAGAATTGTATATAAAAAATACATACTATAATGTTAATAGTTCATTGATTGTTAAATGCAAAGTAAAAAGTAAAAAAAATAAGATGAACAAGAAGAATGATAAATTTTAGGATTTATATTTGAGATAGACTACTTTCAAAATTCACCATAAGAAATTGAATGTTCTGTATAAAAAAAAAAAGTTAACCTCTAGGTCTGCTCTGTACCTATACAAAATTTATTGATGTACCATATTTATCTATTATTCAAAATAGTAATGGTATTCCAGGTGGTTGAATTTGGTGATATACCTTGTATATTAAGTAGCAAAATAAAAGTATCATGACTGTAAGGCAGAAAATACGTGAATTTATTTCATTAATAACAATGAAACTCACACCAGCTTAAAATCACCATTCTCTTTAATAAAAATTAAAGATTTAAAAAGAGACATGCCGGCGAAAAGGAAAGCAATGAAACAAATGTAACAACGATAGAGTAATAGTGTGCAGTGTGGGATAGTAAACAAAGCATTATCACTGAATTAAAGATGCGCTTTCTACGCTGATATAATTAGATAAGGCTAGCGTTACGCAATATCTTCGTACTTTGCCATGGTGACTGTTTACGGTTCGGTATGTCGAGGTTGGGACTTCAATTTCCAATTATCAAATGTCAAATTGTCTCGGTTTTCTCACTCGTTATAACAAATTTAATACCGACTTTTCCGCTAAGCTCTTACAGTAGCTCAAGATGATACTGAGTGTCGTGAAAAATGCACTTCGGTGGAAATGCACTTTCCTGTTATGTAATATAAAATCTGAGCCATAATAATCTTGATTTTCAATCACACTGAACAGAGCCGCTCCTTTACCGCCATGCTGATATCGATCTTCTTTGTATACAACCACAGACAAGATATAGGATAGACCACTCATTTAATGCATTTTTGTAATGCAAGAGTATAAGGTGGTCCTGAAGTTTTCTTCCATATCGATTAGGTCAAGGAAAAACAGATTTTTGTTACGATATGTAACGAGCGAATGTACATTCAGTGCAAATTTGTCTTCTCTGCGGAAAATAGCAGCCACTGGTACAGATTCTTTCCTTATATTTTTTAAAATGTGTATTTTTACCCACTTTAACCGGAAGGAATTGACGACGCTATCTACCGACGAGCGGTGCTATTATTGAAATTTCATGAAAATGGAACAATTGGCGCCATCTCTTCGGCGAGCGGGATGAACTACACGTTTTTGAAACTGTACTTTTATTAGGAAATACCCTTTCCTAAGTTAACCTAACTTTCGACCTAACTTCCTTTATTTTTATAGTATTTTTATTATACAATCCATTACATAGTAAAACGCAATTCACATAATACAACAAATTTTATTTACAAAAATACATAGAAAGCAGAATATATAATACACATATTTAAAAGTAAGTACAATGTTTAGTTAAAGTAAGTCAAACCTTACTTAATTATACATCCAGAACATCTGCTGTTATCTATTTGAAGAAAACATTTATCATATACCTGAAAACAATATTCAATTATAACTCAGTTATTTATTGATTTACATTAATACACAGCTGTAATAACTTATATCTACAATTTAAAATGCAATACTCTGAATCACATCCAACTTTTAGAAAAAGCAATACATTTTATCATATCCATATCTTTTTCACAATACTCATTCATATTCTATATGATAAAAACTACAATACATAGTATTATATCCATATTGTTTTGCAATACTCATAGAAATATTTTAATTATTAACCTGACCTAATTATAATTGAAAAATGCAATACTCTGAACCATATCCAACCTTTTGGCATGAAAAGAAATTTTAAGTAATAAAATATGTTTAGTCTCTAACTTGTAATAGGAAGTGCAATACAATTTGTATCATATCCATAGTTCTTTTTGCAATACTCTGTCATAATCCATATACATATTCAAAATTGCAATACAATGTATCATATCCATATTATTTAATGCAATACTCTCAGTAATATCCATATATTCACCTATGTTTCTTTTAAATAATGAATTCTAAACGTTAATTGAAAAATTCAATACTCTGAATCATATCCAACTTTGACAAAAAATATAAGATGTAAAACATAATCAGCAACATACTTTGTATCATATCCATATTTTTGCAATACATATCCATAATCCTCATTTTTAAAAAAAGCTACTCTGCTAAAAAAATTAAATTTTAAATATTAAACTACAGTTTAAGAATGCAATCAATTGTATCATATCCATGTTATTTCTTGCAATACCATAAAAATATCCATATTTTAATTTATTGTTTCATATTTCTTAAAATAATAAATTTTATATCTTAACCTAAGTATGCAATACCCAGAATCATATCCAAACTTCTAAAAACCTATTATTTAATAACATATAACTAGATTTTAAACTTATATTACAAAATACAATACCTCATATTCTGTATCATATCCATAAATTCTTTTACAGTATTCAATTAAATTTATACTTTTGATAGGAATTTTCTAACAACTTATTTGTTAAAAAAGTTTTTATACCTTGCTCACCAATCTCACAATATCTATTATACTTACATATTTTATTAATTAGGGTAATTCTGAAAACAGTAAGATTTTGAATTATAGTTTTTATAAATATAAGTTATAATATTACCTCCATAGGAATCCTTACAGTTGCATTATTACATCCCGTAAAAAGTATTATAAATCCGAGTTCATTTCCTTTTCTTTTCAGCATTAAAAAGTAAGTAAAATAAACTAGTATATGTTCAATCAAAAATGGAAGAACATGCTTGACTGACGCTCGACACCTAATGAACATTTCTTCATCCTGTACGAACTAGCTCCGATTGGTTAGCACGTTAGCACACTTTATAACCGAAGACAACGCGCAGCCACATTCACGCCAGTGTTGGGCAGTCGTGAGATTTTCTCACGCGAGAGCTTTATGCGCATGCGTCAGCGACGTCACAGCTTGCTGCCAATGCCGTACCTAGCCGGTATACGCAATGGTGACTGATGAGGGCACCTTTATGAACCTACATAACTTTTCAAAAATTCTTATAATTGCACCGTAAACTATGAATGTATAGGTTGGGTTAGATTACATTAGGCTGGGTTAGGTTAGTTACATATATGACTGTATAAAACTATACAACCATATATAAATATCGTGAATTATATAATATAATATAATGGGAATAATATGATGGAATATGGGAGATTATTATATTTAAAATAACACAAAAGCACAATAACTTTTAAAACACTAAATGAATTTATTATTTAAG